AGTCTTCACCTCGGTCTGGACATGCCGCCATGCCTTTGCTATCACGCTCGTTAAGTCGGGCGCGTTTGCATTGACGGTGCCGTCGCTCGGATGAATTACTCATCTCAGTAATTCACTCACTTCGTTTTCATGTAGCCAATTCTTTCCCTGACGGTTTTCTATGCGGTGTATCTCACCAGTGTCATAGCTAACAAGGTGAATCTGCATGATTTGAAAGAATTGACTAAACAAGTGATCCATCCACCCGCGGAGACGACCGATGCAATGGCTGACAAGTTGTATTCAAATTTGCTGCTCCGATTAAGATCTGGGGTTATCACAGCGCAATGACTAGAATGAGCGGGTACCGTGTCAGGGTCTGTAGAAGCAGGTAGTCGCCGAATGGAGCCGCTGGTGGAATATTGCTCCCAGAAAATAGCCCGATCCGCATTCCACTCAGGGAATGGCGCCCCAAAAACTTGTTCAACCATCCCTGTGTCGGCATTGACGGCGGGGACGAGTTGACAAATTGACATGCAATGGCGGAACGGATGCCGCACATTCCCACGGTCTCGCCTGCATGTCCCTGAGACTGCGGACTGTTTCTGCGGTTCATGACAAGACGCGTGCCCTGCAAATGTGTCGTTCGGGCAGGGTTGACGGACCCGGATGTTGTAACCAAAGCTGCCACCCGGGCAAAAGTGACCGAGTCGGATGTCGGCACAGCCGCTTACCAAAACGCCGCCTAGTGAAAGGCGCCCAACTTTGCATCCGAGAGCGATGGCGCCGTATATAGATGCCGCATCGGCTACTTCATCACGGCTACTCCGGTCAAACTACCCGATGAATTCATAACAAAGATTACCGCCCAAGCACTCCGCCGAGTCCCATCTTCGGTAACGCAGGGTCAGCTTGCTAAGGGTGTAGCGGTCTAATACAGGGATAGAAATTGGTCGCAACCATAGATTGACAGAGCCCGAACTTGCAGCTCCCATCCACGGACTTTGTTCTTCCCGAGGTTCCAAAGTAAAACAATGCGGGCCGCAAGCCGATTGACTTAGAAACGAATGAAGTGTGTCGATGCGTTGAGCGGCCTATGTCATTTCTGAGTAGTATATAACCTCAGCGGCCTCAACTCGTCTTGGTTAAGACCATTGTTCACGCTGGCGCTATGCCTTCTCCATATCATTCCGCGTCGTCGGCTGATGACATACCTTCAGTCTCTACCTCACGCATCCGGCACCGCCGTCCGCATCCTCGAGCTTCTCATGGCCATATTTCTCGTGACGACAATGCACACGACGCCGTCGACACTCGGGCAGTTGACTCCGTTCAAGAGGCTGCCTCCGCCATTGCGATTCCTCCCACCAACCGCGCGGTCAGTAACACCGCCGGCGCTGCCACCTCTGCCAGCCGTATAGCTGCCATGATTGCTGCCAACCTTGCGAAACGGACGACCGCTACCGCAGTTGCCAACTGCCCAGCCTCCTCGATTGCTACGACGAGTCAGAGGCGCGCTGTGGCTCAACATTCAGGACGCCTGCCTTCACCCACCACCGCCGCTAACCCTGCCGGCACTCCCAGCCTCACTGAACCTGCAGATGGTATAGACCTCCTTGCTGACGCAGACAGCGACGACGAGGATGAGGATGATGGTCTCGATACCATCTATATCCTCTCCAAGGAAGATGACGCCATCATCCAGAAGTACCTCCCTGCCTGGAAGAAGCTGTCGAAGGTGCGGAATGACAAAGCCCAGCATGCCCTGGTGTGCAAGGTTGCGGGGCTCATCCTGGGGGAGAAGGAGTGCTCGTTGGAGGTCGAAGTGGACGTTGAAACTGTGAGCACTTTCACATTTGCCTGACTGATGGTATCTAATTGATGTTAGAGTGTGGAGGCCACCTTCAGGTTGCATTCCCGAACTCGGCCACTGCACTCCGGGAAGTGGACCTCGTACAAGGTCCTTGACTACAAGCACGTGCGGACCATCCGCAAGGAAATGCGTGTCGTCTGGGCATCGCTCTATCCCGACCAACCCACCGTTGACACAGGGGACAAGAAGAAGTGGCTCGGCACTTGGAGTATTGCCCGCAAGGTTGTTGCTCGGCACCTCACATCTGCTCAGTGGGATGCTCTCGATGCACTTGCTGACCGTTGGAATATCTCAGGCCCACCTGATGATGTTCAAGAGAGGTATGACCTTTATTGCATGATACCACTTGGTTTGACATTCGTCGTAGGGAGTATGACCGCCATTTCATTCCCAGGATGAAGGTGTTTATGACTGAGGCAGCTCGGGACTGCGGCGTCACGTTGTCGGCGTTGTGGGTACACAAGAATGCAAAAGGGGAGTTGGTCTATGGTTGGTAAGTCTGATTGCTTTTAATGTTTGATTAATGCTGATATACCCAGGACCGATGAGCTTCTGAAAGATGTTGACACATTCAAGATGTCGCTTGGTGATGCAAAAGCAAAACGCCTGCTGTTAGCATGGGCTAACCATAACGACCCTGATGAAGGTATGATCACCTTTTCCCTTGAATGTCAACGCCATTTCTGATGAATTTACTTTGCCAACTGCCACAGTTTCTAGTGATGATGACGGCAGCAGAGCTTCACGACCTGGCAAAGCTGGCTCAAAGCGTGATGTCATTGTCGCCCTTGACGACAATGGTTACCCTCTGGTACCATCTGAGGTGGGGTGTAATGCTAAGAGGTTGCAAAAAATAGTTCGCGAGGTCATGCGGGCTTCCTTCCGATACGATTTACCGTCGTCGCAACAGGGCGCATGTGTGCCTTGGAGCGAACTACGGGCAAAGCCTTTGGCATTCATTGCCCCCGACTATCTCCCGGGTGGAAATTGGGGTCAATTCGACGACCCGTCAAAGATGCTTGACGCTGCATGTAAGGCTCTCATTCGGCATTGGCGACTGAGACAAAACATCAGCCCCGACGCCGCATTCCGATTTTTACCTTCCTTCATTGAGCTCCGAGGTGGGCGCCCACCTCGGAGGAAGTCGTTGCTCATGCCCATCAAACCAACGCCTGCCGCTCCCACAGCGGCGTCATTATTTGCAAAGGTGAAGCCATTCAGATCCTTTTCTTCATATGATTCTTATTGATATCTTCAGGCTGCGGCTGCATCGACAAAGAGTGTGGCATCAGCCCTGAGATCAGCGGCCAACAACGCTAATGCGCAGACCTTTGAAGAATTGCCTACTGCGGTGGCCTCAACATCACTTCCAAGTGGATCTCGTACATCTACCCCAAAGCCACATGCTCCCAAGCCCCGAATGTCCATACTGAAGCCAAGACCTCTCACCAAACACCGCGGCGCTAACCTCAATGCTCGACGACTCGACGGCCGAAACGTCCACAGCGAGCAAGAAAGCACGGATGAGGTCGAAGATATCCAAGATTGGGAGCTGCCTGATTCTCTAGCCAAGAGTCTGGGTGTCACACCTACGGTAAGATGGATTTTTGTGTCCTTGATAAGCTAAAAAATTACGCTTACTTTGTTTTAGAAGAAACGGCCTCCCGTCGAGGAGTGGTCTCCGATCGAAGTTACGCCGAAACGTCAGAGGATGAATGACGACTTCACCCCAGTTCGGCGGCGTCACCGAACTCCATCTCCAGCCTCAGATGATTACGAGTCTGAAGGTGACGGGCTTGACGACCCCAAGAGCCCAGGGCTCAACGAAGATGATGTCTACTTCATGGGTGAGGGCAATGGGCGTCCGGCAAGACAACGCAAGCATACCGAGAGGGGCAGTCTGTGGAAACAAAGCATAGAGGAACGTGCGAAACGCCGCAAAGGGGGCCTTGGCGTTCTTTTGGAAGAGTAATTGATTGTTTTTGCCTGCCATTTATCTACAGCATGTTAGTATTTTGGTTTCTCGCTTTTAATGTGATGTCTTTACTCTGACCTCGTGGGCGATCCATGATGAAGACGCTGCCCCGTGGTAGGTATGGTTTCGAACTCTCGGGATAGAATTGTACAACGTGGTCAAGGTGAGTACATATTTTCAAGTCTCGATTGGTGGCTAATTCAAGAAAAATGCCATTATTTAGAGTTATCACTGCCCTGCGCTCTCCCCACTGACGCTGTGTCGCCCGGCGCCATCAAACATGAATAACAGGGAAAGGTGACGTATCGCTGCGTTGATTGATTGACTGGTCCATCCGCCCTGGTGTCCATCCTGTAGCATAGGAAACACGGCCTGCAGCGGCGCCTCCCCTCTATTGAGTACCCCAATGAGTGAGTCGATCGTCTCTTCTGCCGTCTCCCCTCTGACCGGTTCTAGGCGCAGAAGCATGTGATCAACAAACGCATTCAAAATGAATGCGGAGTTGGTGTGCATGTGCTCAGCCATCATGCGTGAAAGGACTGCATTTCGGAACTCCACATTAGTCATATTCACTGGAGTCATCAAGCCCAGTCCACCAACAACCGCATCAGGAGGTACGTCGCCTACGGTTTTTTATGATTGAGTATCTCGGGTACTGAACATGACTTCACGTACTTACGTTCGGGAGCAGCCTCAGCAACATGGGCATGCTGATCGCGATGTGATACAGGCGTCGATGGAGTGGCTATTTGGACGCATATAAAGTAAGATTCCTGGTACTATTGCACATGGATGGGGACTTACGACCAAAAATTGTCGACATATCAGCATCACTGGGTTGAGACGGCGCCGGTTCGCTGTAATCAGTTTGGCCGGTCCAATAGTCCTGAAGCTTTTCTGCATCATTCACGCTAGTCAAAGGGTTACCTTTGACATTGACTTCATCGTTGTTAGGTTCGCCGTCGTCATCGTTATCGTCGTCGCTGTCGTCAAAGGAGCCACCCAAAGCGAAGATAGAAAATGACGCCGGAGCGTCAGCAATGTCGTCCTCTCCCCGAAGTGGCAACGCGGCGTCGTTTTGGGACGAGCTCGGGTTCCCCGCGGTGTCTTCAGCCCTGGCGCCCTGATTCTGGCGCCGTAGATGTGCAGCCACCATTGATGCTACGACATCTCTATTGTCATTGCGGTGTTCGGTGGAAACATTACCTGGGTGAACAACATCGGAGGTATGAGAACCGCAGGATCCAGACCTCGGTTAACGCTTACGTTCGCGTGCTTTCATTTCCTGCCATTGGCTGCGAGATACAGGCAGGTCTTCGCGCTTTTCTGCCAATGACTTCCCTTGCCCCTCCCAGTCTATGCAGTTGTGAGCACATTCTACAAATATGGCTGAATTTGCTCACCCCATTCAGATGCATCATCGGCGTCATCTCCGACGGCGCCGAGTTGACGAGCGGTGTCAGTTTTGTACACGACTGCTCCTGGGGCTAACTGCGACCCGACGACCTTAGACTTGCTTCCCTGGCGCCCTTGATCTGGGTTTTGTTCCGGACGATCAGAGGTCGTGGACCCTCTTCCTCGGCTGCGGCGGCCTCTTGGGTTCATGGCGATTAAGGACGATGTGAAGGGGGTATTAGGTGCGTGGACGGCGGTGGGAGAAGTGGGGAATCAAGGTAAGCTCGCGCACATCTGGCGGCGTCATTTGCCCACGTCCATAATTAGCGGAAGGCTTCACATGACGGCGGCCTGAGGGAATCCGGGCGCATCTTCTGGGCCCAGGGTTGTTTACCCTAACCCCAGGAGACGCCGCGCGGAGTCCTTCGGCTGCGCCGTGTTGTCCAACGCTCACCACACCACCATGGCAGAAGCACCGGAAGTCACGGTCTTTAAACTCCCCAACTACTTGCCCAAGAAGTTTCGGACCCTCGACATTGAAAACCCGACGTCGGTGATCGCGGCGATCGTGATCTACAGCGCACGATGGACGGCGATGTTCGCAAGATTCAAGGCTGGTGGCATAAACAAAGCTGCCTTTCTCGAGAGGGCAAGTCAGGAGGTGGTGAGCATTTTCCTTTATATGGCGCACTTCCCGCCATATGTGCTTTGCAGGATGAGGCCGCCTGGTGGATGGAGGCGTACATCGAGTACGCCAAGGTTGACGGTCAGAAGCTCGACTGGCAACTGACACCGATTGCGGTCGCCATGTACCATGAGCGGGGAAACATGGAATCGCCGACGTTTTCCTTGGATCCAACGACGTACAGGGTGTTCAAACACTACTGTTTCCGTCCTGTTGAGGTGAATAACTGCGGTGCGGCATGGTGGGACGAGCCAGAGTTCACGGTGAGTAATCACCATCCAGATAGTGAAATATTGTCATTTGTGTAATCTCATGCGGTCGAAGCGAGCAACGTCCCCCCCTGTACCTGCGGGTTCGTCTGCAGGTCCAGACGCTCCATCCCTCTTTGCAAAGCCCATCAGGCCTGCGGAGTCCACGGCTCCGTTGCCAGCGCCATCGTCGCAGGGGTCTCCTTCCCCTGCACCTCGTCGTCCTGTTGGGCATAAGCCCAAGGGCAAGCCGTCATCGACCCCTCGCACCACCACCCCAACAGTGCAAGCAGGTGAGGACGCTGATGCGGCCATGGACGACGACATTACGATACAATCACCTCAGCCGGGACCTCCGACATCGGATGAAGACGTTCAAATCGTTGAGGCACCGCATAAGGTGCGTATCATTTCTCACCACGGCAGCGCGCCCTCACTTACCCATTGGATCGCGATTTACGGATTTGTGGTTAGAAACCGCGGCCTCGCCAGGCGAAACGGACCTCAACGCTTCCTGCGGCTGCTGTCGATCAAAACCAGTTCGACTCGATTACGGGAGATACTACGGAGGAGCAACCGGTTGCATCTCAAGCCGCAGCAAGCTCTGCTCATGCAGCTATGGGGAAGGCGCCGTCTTCAGAGAGCGCATTGTTGGCAGCTCGAGTGCATCCTAAGGGCACCGGTCAAGGAGTAAGTGGAGCCAAGGTACATCATCGATGCCCTTCCATCTTGCCTGCACTGACTTAATACAAGGTCCCTGCTGGTGCGTCATCCTAGCGCGGCGTCATGTCAACGCATTTTGATAAGCTCCGATGTCCGGCGCGCTTATCCTTCCCAACAGAGCGGGAAGTCCTCGATCTGACGGCGGAAGTTGATGGGATGGAAGGATTTGCAGACGCCATACGAGAACTGGTCCGCGCTGTCGACAACAACTACTCAGCGACTCGAAACGATGTCAAAACCCACAAGGAGTCTTTGACAAAGGTAATGAAGGATCACAATGATTCCATCAAAGCCTTGACCAGCGCGGTAAATGGCATTCGTGAAGACCTTCGCTTTCTGGCCCACACACTTGGCCACGACATTCCACCTCGTACCAGTGAGGGCGATGCACATATTAGTGGGGATGGTGAGTCATCGTCATCATTTGGCAGTCTGTGACGTCACTCATATTGGTTATAGTTGAGATGTCTGACAGTGCGCAGCAGGGTGACTCATCGAGTGCTCCCAACAAACGACAGCGCAAATCCCAAGGGAAGGTTAAGCATTGATTATTTGGTCCTCGATTATATACTACTGTACCAACATATTTATGAAATGATTGATATATGAGACTGCTGTGATGGATAACATCCAAAGCTGTATCACCCGGGATTCAATCAAACCAACCACGGGTATAATCCATAGTCACGCCGCTGACGCCCGACGTTTGCAAACATTGATTATGCAACTCCGGCCTATGAAGCACTGTCTTCCTTGGCAGTGCACACGCCGCCGCGCCGTCCTCCTTCCCGGTGCACACGCCGCTGCGCCGTCTTGTGCGGTGTGTTCCAACGACGCCGCTTTGCACCCCGGTGGACACGCCGCACTCCTGATACGGCGCACAACGGATCAGCCGGTGCGGCGTTACCATAGGCGTCGGCCGACACGGAGTACTCCTACGGCAGCCGACGTCGGTTGGCACGGTGTTGTCGGGCGGTCTGTCGTCCGTTGGGACGGCGAGGTCGAGGCGGCGTGCCTGCAACTGCTGCGCGGGGAATCTATCTTGTGACAACTCGCTTCAATGAACACGCAAATAATATTTGATACGAGCGGAGCGCTAACCGCTAGGTCCCATCGGAACTTTGCTCCCCGCGAGCGCCTCCGCTGCTTGCCACGGCCCACGGTCGTGTGATCCCCGTACTGTGCACGCCGCTAAATGTGTAGGCTGTTCAATGCTCTTTTGGACAGCGCTTCTGCATGCCCCAAATGTGACGCCCCCTTATCAACGCTATCTGCAGCGACGCGCAGGTGGATACATGTGACACGACGCCTACAAACCCTGTGAGTTAATGCGAACATTGGATCTCATACAGGAGGGGGCTTACGATGTTTTGGGCAGGCGAACTTCACCGTGACAGCTGGCCGGGGCCGACAGGCGCTCGATTTCATCACGGGTCATAGCCAGCTGATCAATTTTTGGGAAACACAGGAACACACGAGCAGTTTGTGCTTACAAGATTTGATGGCTCCCACTTCATGGCTGATGTCCGTGAAGGGACAGCCGTGACTAGTTCAGATAAGAGGATAACTGTGAGGTGAGCTCCGTGCTCGACTGGTTATCCCTCCTCCATCTTCCAACTTTCGAGGTATTCAGGGGAGTCACCAGCCACTGTCGCTATCTACGCGATGAAGATTGACAACAGTCCGTCAGAATGGCCATCAATATGGATTGCTCAGGTGGAGGCATATAGTGCCGGTGGGTGCTATCTACTCTCCCGAAAGTGCTAGCGTTCATAAAAAGTACACATAGTCGCGATGGCTTGCCTGGTGCTGTACGACTATGGTGAGTACCAGTCTCTGCAAGCTCGTTCGATTTTCTAACAAACAGGGACCGAGATGTAACCTAAACATAAACCTCATTCAGTCATGCTTGTTCCAATGGAACTCAACGTTCAAAAGCGTCGTTGTGGCTGCCGCTGCCGTACCTGCGCTGTTGACGAGGACATCAATCTTTCCGTAGATCGCCGTCGCCGCTTTTGCGGCCACTTGTCCCCTGCTGAGCCTGCACCTGCTGGGCCCGCTGAACCGCTTGTCCCTGTGGATGAGCAGGTGGAGGTGGTCCCAGACAGTGAGGAAGAGGATGAAGACGCTGAAGATGCGGACACTGCACTAGCTGTGCATGGGGAGGCCTATGGCAGGGAACTGGCGCTCCAGGGTGATTCCTACAAGGAGCCCAGGACCTATGCTGAGGCTGTTGCTCAGGATCCCCTCTGGTATGACGCCTGTGTAGACGAGATGGGTGCTCACTGGACCAATGGGACCTGGGAGGTGGTGACTCTCCCTCCTGGGGAGAAGGCTATAGGAAGTCGGTGGGTGTTTAAGCTGAAGCGCAATGCTGATGGGTCCATAGAGCGTCACAAGGCTCGAGTGGTTGCCCAAGGCTTCTCCCAGCGTCCTGGCTTCGACTACCTCGAGGTTTTCGCTCCCACTGTCCGCCTCTCCACCATTCGCTTCATCCTGGCCCCTGCTGCCATCCATGACCTCCACCTTCGCTCTGTCGACATCTCCAACGTGTATTTGCAATGGGACATGGATGTCATGCTCTATATGCGTCAGCCAGAGGGCTTTCACATTGGTGGCAAGGACCAGGTATGCCTGCTCAAGCGTCCTCTCTATGGGACCAAGCAGGGTGGACGCATGTGGAACAGGAAGCTGCATGCTGCTCTGCTCGAGATGGGCTTCAAGCGCACCAGTTCACCACCTGCACGAGGAGGTACGCGTTTAGGGGCTTCAACGATGGTTAACGACTGATTCGCGTGTATACACCAGATGGAATTTATATGGGTAAGCAATCTATCCTGTCATAGAGAGAGGGCGGAAGGCTCATGCTCTTGGTTCAGAAAAAGAGGCTCTCATCAATTACAGTGTTGTATATGGTCGTGAGTGTCTCGGGGTTGTGCAATCAGTCTGAGAACATCCAACTAAGTGATGTCGAAAAGCTCCGCTATATTGGACTATTCTATGCCATGTAATGCCTTTATCAACCCGCGTCCCTCAGCTCTAATACCTCTAATGACACCTTATGCAGGGTCTACATGTGTAAGTTATTTAGTCCTCGTAGAGCGTTAACTAATCACCAACAGGTTTTTACGTTTCCATTCCTCTGAGTGACACGGTCAGTTGTTCGTTATGAGAGAGTGATGGGTTGACTGACAGTTCTATAGGCGTGAGTACAACATCCGGACAATTCAAGCCCTAACGGCCATTTCAACGCACATTTCTTTAGATGTATGCCCCCATGTCGTTCAAATGTCCCTATCTTGACATAACTTCTCAGGCCACATGCTCTTTGGGCTCATGGAAGCGACGCAGCTTATCGCCGTTTTCTCGCTTCAGGGTAAGCTGATTGCTATAGCATCTCCTCGGACGCACTCACAGCTGCCAGTTATGATGGTCGTGCGTGTTTGCGCGTTGTATAATGAATCAAAGAGAATGCGCTGGACGTTATCTACACTCCTGACCATCGAATACGTGATTATTGTGGTGTTAGTATCGGTCAGCCTCACGGGTCCAGGTGCTACAGGTGTGCATTCCGCGCGATCCCCTGGTGGCTAACATACGAATGCTGACGCTGTCTCAAGTCAACGAATATGACTGGTCAGGTGTACGCCACTGCATGAACCACATATCCAGCAACTCTGTCGGCAACTGGGGAGCGCCTCTTCGATTCTCGCTTATGATCACGTTCGAGTTCTTGCTCGTTGTTTTGACGCTCTGGAGGTTCTATCATCACTAAATGGGTGGGAAAAGTTTGACCGTTATACCGAGTGATCACCGTTATAATATCGTCGTCGAGACAGTTTTGTATGATCACGGATGGTGACGCATTCCCATTGAGTTAACATATCGTTACGGTGTGGCAGTGAATTTCGGCCGAACACCATGTCGCGGACACTTTACCATTGATCAAAATTGATGATCTTGCTCGTACATTTGTTAGTCGAATATAAAATACGGAGACCATTTCAGAACCAAATTATCATTGAGCGATAACTTCAACTGCATATGGCAGCCACCGCTTTAGGTAGACACGAACACTAACGAACAATAAAAACGGTAGAGATTCGAATACCCGCTGACCTTTACAATGATGCAAAAGTGGAGCAGGCGAGCGGGGGAAGAAACCCAGCCACACCACATTGGGCGCATGAACACCAATTGCTCGGCGTCTTTCTGCTTCTGTTCCTACCTATCACTGTGAGGGCGGAGATACCTGAAACTCATGTACGTCAAGTATGCTCGTACGTTAGTAGTTTTCATGTATTATTCATGTTTTCGGAACATCATAATAATGTAGATGATTCATGATAATCATGTACAAGGCCAAGATCAAACAACTAATGTTTTTGCAGGATTCAATGTACTTTCTCATGTCAAAAGAACATGATTTCCGAGGCAACGAGACACAATTGAATGCGTAGCCAATAGTTTTAATGGCAAAATGCAATGATTACCACACAATAAAGCATGCAAAAATCACTGCAAATGCGATGATATTCATGGGTATCTATGGATATCTACACAGGGAGTGCCTTGTCTACTCAATACACAGAACTACAATCAACCCCTTGAACTGCCCGGCGCCTGGAGCTTCTTCGGTGCAACTGGCGCAGAGTTTCTGCCCCGTTATCATCATCCGAGTTGTCTGCATCGAACGCATGACAAGGGGTGCGGACACAATTGTTCTTGAACGCTGCGGCGAGGGCTGCCAGCCGAGGCTCTCCCGCAACTAACCTACTTGTGGGAACGGGCCAAAGTAGATACTAACCAGATGCCAATGAGAGTAAGTAGACGAAACAGTGAGAATTAACGAAAAACATACCAGACACGATGTCTGCTCTCTCCCCTAGTCTCGCACCACTGTCGCTACCGGATTTCCGGGAGGGGACTCGACTCGTTTCGAGAGCATGCTCATACGCGGGAGCGGCGCAAGTGCATCAAAGTTCCCTAGAATACAAGCGTCATTGTGGGACACTTACGTGAGCCCACCTAAATATACCGCGGGCACATGGTCCATCTGACTCTCGTTCAGACGGAGCACGACTGCGAACATGCATGCATGCGGCGCCCATTGCCACGCACGCTCCCTCTGCTTGTCGGCCACTGTGAGGGCCATCTGCACCAAGTGTAAAGGTGCGGCGTGCGTCGATGATGGTCGCAAAGCGAGGACTTATACTACAGCGAGGGACCACTGTTAGTGGAGGGCATGGATGCATTGGCCATGAGAACGTTGAGCAGGTTGATCCACGCCGCGAAGACCTCAGTGTGCCGTCACATCCGATTGTGCGCTTGTCCACACTGACGATGGCGTTGATCATCCCTACGGCGTAATCAGCGCCTTGTTTGAGCAGCCCGTTAAATCGACCTACGTGAACTATGTCGTGCTCGGCGAGAGCCTTAATCACGAACCATGAGGGTTGACCTACGTGCGTATGGTGTTGATGTTGAGTAGTAAGGTGCTAGAAGGAGAGATGGGCTGACAGCGGAGAAGGCATACACGTGGACAGTTGTTGAAGATGATTTGTAGACGGGCCATAGTAGTGTCATGTCCGTTGGTGGAATGTGAATGTTGACTGACAAAAAGGCCAGTCAGTCTGATCCAGGAGCTGCCATAGAAAGCGTGAGTAGACGGCGTGAGGTGCAAAGGCGGTGGACAGGAAGAGGGAGAGTGAGATGGCAGAGGCCGACAGTGTCAAGGAGGAAGAAAAGACAACGCGAGAAGAACAAGTTCAACATTTGCATTTGTTTGTTAGGGGTGGAGCAACCGACACCACCGTGACGTCACCGTGAACATGGTGTCGCATTTCAGTCCCAGGTACATGGCTTGATGAACAGGTCCGGGTACATGACTTCAAAATCAGGTCAAAGGTATGTGATTCTAGCAAATCAAATATCAGGTACATTAAAATCAGGTATACACGCGTTTGCAGTGTATAGCTCTTGCGAGGCAATGTCTGAAGCGGCGACATGCATTCCAACTACAAGAGAAGACCTCTAGTTATTTTAAGCGAGCGCTCCTGCCTGGTTGCGCGACACTCAAACGTCTAAATATAATATTGGCCAATCAGAGACAGATGATGAAACCAGCCCTAAAGCTGATAGAGAGATAAGATAAGATAAGACCTTTGTGTCGCCTTTTTGAACACTCTCTCCGCCTTTTCTCTCTCCTCCCTTCGACTTTTCTCTTTCTTCCCCCCGCAATAATCCTACCCTGTACTCTCTGTTTGATTTCCCTACTTTTCTTACACGCTTCTCCACCACCGATTGTCACCACACTCACTTGTCTCACCTCAAGTCCTGGAAAATTGTCCAGTTCTTCCGGTATTTTGGCTCTGGTACATCTTCTATGTTTACTACGTATTTAAGCATCTCACCAAACCTAGAACACCTCAAACACAAAGCCAACAGCATGCTGGAGCAATGTACTCGATGGCGATGAGGTGCATGCTTCTGCTCCATCCCCCAGCTGTCGGCGAGGACCTGGAGCACAAGCCTGGAGTCTGAGGCTATCACATTTTGAGTCGATGGTCACTATTCGCGTCCCCACCCGCCTTCTGTCAGAGTTGGAGCCCGAAAGTAGACGAGTGCTGTCATCGACTGCTAGCTTCACGGTCTGTAAGCTCTAATTATTTCCTCGGATTTCCTGCACTCGTCTACTGCTGCTGCTCTCGTGTAATAACTTTGTTAGTCGTTTTAACCTCGAATAATGCTGCATCATGTACTATATAATATTCACAATGAATGTCTTGTCATTGGAATCATGGGCAAGATTGCGAGTCCTCAACATATGGTCTGAGTTTTTATCATACGGCATAAATCACCAGCCGATCTTATCGTGTAATTATCATGCAGGCTCCGTCAGCGGTAAGATAGCCATCAATATTATAATATCATCCCTGATCTGACCATTTCACCGTCTTATTTTGGTCTGATTTCCCATATGTCAAAAACGGACTTTACGCTCCACTCGTGCTGGAGATTCGAAATATCATTAAGGTACGGTGTCAGTTATAACTGATTCTACTACTGCTCATGTACTTATATTCGGTCCGCCCATTTAGTGATGATGGGCACGTCAAGGACTCAAAGGAGAACGCAAAGATTTCAAGGAGCACGGACCGGTTTTTGGTGTTGCTTGTTCGGGATAATGTGGTCTATTTTGTCTTGTAATGCTTCGTCATACCCCTCTCATATCACTATCGCTGACATAGATGACAGAGCCTTCGTTGGTATCGGCTCTAATGCTGTTGCGTTCACGCCGTCACTTGAGGAGGTTAGTGGTACTTATCTCCTCTCAGTCGTATCAATCTAACATTTCATCAGCCGAGCCTTGGAACTGCAGTGTTCTGTGTTTTCAATATCATCCTCTACAACGGCGTAATTACAATGATTGGGCCTTGGATGGTGCTCAACATCCGGAGGCAGGACGCAAAAGACACTAAGGGTGATACAACGCTAAACACACACATAGACAGCTTGCGATTTGCGGAGTCTTCCAGCGCCACTGTCGCGGAAACTTAGCCTCATCGTCGAGATCATAAGCATCATTTCTTATCATCTCCCTCGAGCCTCTCGAAGAGCGGATTGAGCGAGGCAGTTAAACGTAATAAAGTGCTTCCGGTGTCAGTAGTGCCGGTCTCATGACCCTTATTAATAAACTTAGCATGGCTTCTCTCATCAGCGGCTCCTCTAGAGTGTGGGTTGTAGCGTGTGGTGCTCATACTTGCCCAACGACTATAAAGCTTGCCTTTCTCCTCCCTCGCGTTTACTATTCATGCACGTCCCACGATCATATCGCGGGATTGGCCTTCAGCGCCTACTCCCCGCCCATGTTATTTATTAGGCTCCAGTCCAGTTTGTGGCTGGGTGGCATGTCGCTGTACGTGCCTGCGACTTTGCAGCGTGGCTATGACGCTTCCATCTGATCAAAGCGGCACTGCTCAAATGAATGTGACTCATAGTAGAAGTAAATGCATGTGTCGCTGAGATCACGCAGCTGATACTCGCCGTGGTCTGGCCTCGTGTAGTTATTCGGTCAGGGCCCGAATCTGGGTCGCTGCTACCTTCTACGTTGCCTTGGCTCCGGCTGCAGCGGTGGAGCGCTGTGTGTCCGGTGTCTTAAGTACGCAGCTGGTGTCCTTTCTCGGAGCTTGTCTAGATACCCCGCTTTCTCTCTCACCTGGATTCGTGTACATGTCCATATCTTCTGACTCTCCGGATTATTGGCCTGACATCCAGTTTCAGCGCGGAGAGGAGTATGTTCAAGGTGAGTAATATGGCGCTCTAATGCGTAGCGAAACTTGACAACCCCAACCAATAGTCGGGATGCTCGCATTGACGATGTACGACTACCGTAGGCATAGATTCTGAACGCTCTGCGAGCCAACCGCTCACCAACTTTCTTGTAGTGCTTCACTTTCGAGAGGAGGTACTGTTTCTCGATTTGTTGTAGCTGGTCTCTTAGCTCACAGTCATGTCTTTGAGGTCGAGCTTGTATGGGTGAGGCCTTTGTCAGTCAAAAACAGCGACGTGATGGACTCATCGGCAATCAATACTGAAACAGAGGAGAAAATTGTCGCTGATTAGAGTCCTATATACGTTGGTGAGTTTCTCGGTTGTGAAGTGCTTGTTGGGCACTTTCCTGACGCGGTTTCCTAGCTTCGCTACACCGGCCTTCTCTATGCAATGTGTGTTTTATTTTTCCGCCTAAAAACGTAAACCTAACCCACACGCACTTGATTCGCCGTTTAGATCGGCGGTCATGAGCGTAAACGTTGGCAAGAATCATTTCGCCAATGACCTTGCAAATAACTATACCACAACAGGGGCGGGCAACCAGGTACGGCACGATTCGATACTATTGATTCTGACAGTCTATAGACGTTGATGACTAATAATTTCTTAACCACTGCAGGGGTGAGTCAATCGTTCAAGAGCTTTGTTTGTTTTTCAACCTACCAATGGATATGTGTGCCATTTCCCCAAACTGTTGCCACGAATTCACAACGCAGATGTGAGTATCCTTGGTTTATTTTAAAGAGCTCGGGTTGACCGGTATCACCAGGCTACGAATGGTATATCCTCTCCCAAATAGCCGAGTTCGTGATCTTATTCGCGTTACAAGGTACGAGCATATTGCTCTGTTAGCCTAGACCTTTGAATTCTCACCATTTGTAAAGCCACAATGGCAATACGACTACATGCGCTGTATGGCCAGTCCAGGGCTGTTCTTCGTACTCTCCTAGTGTGTTTTGTCATTGAACAGTCGATCTGCCTTGCCACACACATCATTGCGTACTATCCTGGCAACGGATTGACAGGTATCGGTGTTCCTTTTTCTCCGCCCCATACTCACTAACAAACGTCCGAATTAGTTCAAGCGGGGAACTTCTCGGGCCAACGATTTTGCGTCTTCGACGGCCCCCGAAAAGCAACTTGGGCACTGCCAGCGAATAACGCCGCGCTGCTGACATACGAGGTGATGCTCGCCGGCTTCACGCTGCATCGTTTTGTCACGCATCTCCTGAGCGAACGCCGGTACCATGAAGGATGGCTGGGAAACCACTTCCTGCGGATACTGTATCGCGACAACGTGCTGTATTCTATGCTGTGAGCTCCATTTTGGTTCCGGACGACTGTCTGGCATTCGTTCGTCCTAACCTTTACTGGGTTAGAACGCTGTCAACAATGACGATCATCGAGATATCATACGCGCCCGTGTTCAAAAGCGTCGACACAGGGCTAGCGGCCGACTTCGACACGAACGCCGCGTTGTACACCTACCTTCTGTGCGTCATGGGGCCGCACATGATCCTGAGCATCCGCCAGCACGACACCAACGACATGGCGAGCAACACAACAGACACATTTGAAATGCATAGGACGTACATCGAGTTTGCGCAGGGATCAGGAATGTCGTCGACGTTGAGGAGTGCATGAGATGATGTCGTAGCGATGATGCAGTATATTGTATTTTGATGATATAGACGTGGTGTTAGTTTTATGCGATGAGTACAGTGATAATAGGCGCCAAGGCTGAAGGCGTGATGGTTGTAAGGGGTGATAGCAAGATGGACGTCTATAGATTGCTGAAGGCTCAGAAAGGAACCAAAGATACTCAACACCGGACAGCCCGTGGGCATTAAAGCCTTGGGAACAGTGGTGCCACCACGGCGACTACTGGTGATGCATCGAATCCACAAGCTCCTGCAGCTGCGCCGCCGTCCGTGGCGGGAACTTAAACGCCTGCAGCTTATCGCCAAACGTTCTAATCACCCTGCCCAACCCAACCTTCAGCGCTGCAAGACCATCCCGTCATCAGCTTCTGTTCACTATATACCAAAGAATACGAAACAGACGCACCATCCTCAAGCGGCTTCAATACATCTAGCGACTTCGCTGTCTCCACCCTGACAAGCTCCTTCTCCGCAACGATGGTGCGCGCGCCGTTCTCACCCTTGAGAGCGGCGGTGAGCTCATCCGGTGTCGGTGGCGCGGCGTTGGCAGCGATCTCAGATTCATAGGCTTGTACGGATGATAGAAACGTGAGGAGCGCCTCGAGCGTGCGTGGGATGTCGCGCTGGACGACACCGTATTTGTCTTCGATGAGGGAGTTCTCGATGAGGTGGGTGAGCACTACAGATGCAAGTGGGTTAGGGATTAGCGTTTACGAGATGTATGGCGAAGAACATAGGGTCGAAAAACGTACCACCAACGATGTATATATCGACCGCCCTGTTCGGCAGCGACGCCTCCACGACCTTGTGCAGCCTCTCCCGTGTGTACCAGTGTGCGAGATCCCGTACCCAGTTCGGGAGGTGTTTGTCAACCTCGGCGAACAATGCGTCCCGCCGTTTCTTCACTTCTCCAAATATGGTAGCTAACGGCCCGCTTGCCGGTGTCACCGCGGGAGCGGGAGCAGGCGCAAGCTTCGCCGGCGTGTTCAGGGGGCGGAAAGACGTAGAGCGGAAAAGCTCAGGAACCGACGAATCCCCATCCTCGGACTTCACTTCGGGCGCGGCCGCAGGAGCTGGGGCAGGCGAAGGCAAACCCCATTCGCCAGCGCTTCCATTGCTGCTGCCGCCGTTGCCCGTAAACGAGCTGAATATCTTCCCCGCCGGGCTCTGGCTTTCTTGTGGCTTCTTGAAGATATCTTTTCGGAGAAGCGGCGTCCCTGGTGCGGGAGGCTTCGGCTCTTCCTTCTTCGGTACGGGCGGGGCTGCAGGCGGTGGGGCGGGGGCTCCGCGCCGGAGCATGCGGGCGTGGTCGTGGCCGAGAGTTAAAAGTGCCGTGCGCATAAGGGCGGACCAGGGGGAAGGGGTGTATTTTTGGTCTGCGAAGAGGGCGACGCGCCGTTGTGAGGCGGCTAGGTGTGCATTATATTAGGAGGGGAGCGGGGAATGCAGACAGGGAGGAGGACATACTAGGGGAGATTTCGGCAACCAAATGCTCAAGCTCTGCCCAGGCAAATTGGCTGAAGATGGGATCGGACGAGGAAGTCCCAGCAATGAGAGTAAGCAATGGATCTGCAGACGCGTGCGCAGTGGTCACGGGCTGACATCACTTTGTCAGCACTTACTCGCTCCAGCGTGGCGGACGTACTCACCATTGGAATGCAGACATCGAACAACGCCTCTGAGAACTCCCAGACAAGTAGAGTACCCCACGTCACCCTATGTGCAGCCTTCCATAGGGCCCAGTCCCACGAGCTTCCGCCAAGCGAGACGCGAATGAAGTGACCGAAGAATGGGCGAAGGAGAGACCCGAGGATAGGGATGCGCAAGAGGAAGGGGAAGACGAACATGCGGGAAGGCATGACTGCGAGGAAGACGTATGCTAGAGAACAGCTGATTGAAAACAGTGTGACGGTGAAGAGGAGCTTGAGGAGGTTTGACGTCTTGTATGGCTGTGACGTAGTCAAATGAGCTCTATGTAGAATTGTTCAGCTTGAGAAGATGTGACGAACCAGCGCTGCCATAGGAGATTGGCGGAAGACAAAGCGGTCAAGCATAGCTCCGCGAAGCATGAATATGAAGGCGCTCCAGATCTGAGCACCAAAGAAGAACAGTGTGCGGGGGTCGAAGTACCATGGGTGTTTCCTGCAGAACCGGTGAGTACAGAAAACTCAGGGAGGTATGTTACACACTTTGATCTTGCGAATGCTCTCAAATTTACGTTGGGGAGATGGAGTGCCGTGAGCAGGAGGGCGGACAGGGTGTATGCCGCGAGAGCGCGCAGGGACCTTGGGTGCGACAGCGCAGTCGAGATTGTTTTTTGCGGTGAGTGGGCGGCAATCGAGTGTGCTACCAAAGTACGGAAAGCCAGTCGGACACGTCAGTTCGAGCGCCGAATGCATGAAACAACACACTCACGCGACAAGTACGCCTTCCTGAGCACAATCACCGGCAACACTCCAACAGCCCAGCTCGCCAACGCAGAAAGCCATGTCCATGGGTTGATGAGTCTTCTGAATATTGACAAAGATTCTTCCCCGGGATGTGCGACAAGAACGGTCCACGCGAAGACAAACGCGGCGCTGTAGGCAAAGACGGTGTACACCATACGGTGACTTAGCGTCCCGCGCACGAGTGGGTCGTAAACATCAGCAGATTTGGGTATTGAGGGGGCGGCATGGGCTGCCAGCGTCGAGGACCGGAAGGGTGAAGGGGCCATGGGCCGAGGTTGGGTGGGAGCCTTGAAGCTCTCGCTCGGACGCGGCGTCTGACGACAAGCGCGGCACAGAACAAAACGCCTGCACGTGACGCATCGTTCCACCCCTAACCCTAACTACTCGAAGCAATTGCGGAAACGCGTCGACGCGACTTGCTCTTGCACATTGACCATGGATGTTGACATCAACGACAGACCTCTCAGCGAGCATGTCTACCGCATTCTTGCTCCTTACGCAAAAGAATACATCACGGTTGATCATGTTGCTGTCACCGAGGAGACAGCCGAGCTCGTAAGGTCACATCTTCTTGTACTTTGACGCTCAAGTGATCCGCCCCAGCTTCTGTCAATGAGGCTGGATTACATCCCACTCCATGAGCCGGACTCTCTTATCCTTCCAGAAGACCCCCTCGTCCTTTACATTCGAAACTTCAAGTCTCAGAACATCGCGCCATACTCGGAACGATGGGTCGCTAGTGAGGCTTCCCTAAAGCTGCTCAAGAAGACATTCGTGCCGCCTGAGGAAAAGAAGCTTCCATCGGAGAGGTGCTGGGACGAGGATGATCATTGTCATAGTCGTATTTTGACTGATCCCAGCTGGCTGCTGATAAACCTGACCAGATGAACGTTGGGCTGCAATCTGTCGACCCGAGTCCCCCGTTTTGACTACGCGCGCGCGAAGGGAAACCCCACGTCTCCCATCTGATGTTCATAAGTCTACGACGCCGCAATATCTGTCTGAGATACCGCAATCAATCATCGGTCTAGTCGGTTTTCCGGAAGACGATGAGGATCTCGCCTTCAGTGTAACGCGGGACGAAGTCTTGTGCCTTTCAATCTTCGCATACCACCTCTCGTTTGTCTTTACTCACACTATATGCGCAGGGACTTACGGCTTCAGCTCGACCACCACCAACACAGCGGTGTCGTATCTTTACTAAAGTCCATCCCTGCCCTCTGCCCGCCACCCAAAGGAGGTCACCAAAACCGACATGTCGAGGCCTTCCTTCGTAGCGACTCTCCAATCCCAGCTATATTGCGCCTCGACTCACCACCTCTGTTCCCTCGAGCCACAGAGAGAAGTACTGACAGCAAGAATACCACGCATATACCCAACATCTCAGGTGTCCTGCCCCTTATTGCACGGGCGGAGGATGTGCATATGTCGTCGCCTCACCTGGAAGTTGACTGTATGGGCATTTTGGAGGGAGAATGTACGCTTTTTCCCGTTATGCTTATCTGGCTCGTTGATTTTTGCCCTTCAGCTACCTTTAGTATTTCATCGCCTCCTTCTTTCACCCTACGCGACTCCGGTTCCGACCTGGACCTAGCCAGCTTCGGAGCGTCGGACCCTCACACTCCCGATACGTCCATGGCATTGATGGGTAAGTCGCTCTGTTCCGTCCTCCGTGTTGAGGGTGACGAGGTACATGTTGTTGTTGTAGACGAAATCGAGATTCCTCGAACACAAAAACTCGGTTCAGGAGTATCCTCCGTGAGGATTACGGACGGGGAAACGTACGTTCTGTTTAGACCTGAGTCGACGACAAGCCTTCTAACGTAATGTTGACACTGCTAGTTTCGAATCGTTCGTTTCGAAGCATGTCCATCGTCCTGTTATGCCCATTCCCATCCGACCTCAACCCGCTCTTGACACGTCGAAATCGACTCACAAGCCTCCCTCGTTTCCCCTCGTGCGCTCGCCAGCTCGCACCCAGCTCGATTCTATGCTTGGCCAGCCGTCCGAGCCCAAATCCGAAGACGAGGAGAAAGGAGTGAGAGAGGACAGCGAAGGACTGAGCGACGACTTGGATCGTGCTCTCGAGCGCATATACCGAGGCACGAAGAGAAAGGAGAGGTATTTCATTGTAGAAGAGACGCTGGACGAGAAAGATACCGGTCTGATGGAAGGTATGCCCCGCTTTCTTTTGTTTTTCTGCCTTCCAGGCGCTTCGAGTCGCTGTCTCATTAAGCTGACTTCGTCAAATAGTCCCCAACCTCCCTCCACCCAACGCCTCTCGTCCGAGCTCAGCTTTCGCGTTGCCAAATCTTCGACAGCTACTCGCTCCTTCGAAAAAAGCGCGCAAATTTCACCCTCATGGGTCGCTACCTCCATCCACCCCAGCTGACAGCCTGCCACCCGTCCTACGTGGACACATGAAACCCGTAACAGGTGTAAAACCGCTTAACATTGAGCTCTCATGGGTGTAAGCGTCTATCTCCTCCTTTTCGTCGTTTCATTGGCCGAGCGTGTTCAATCTGACGGAGGCCAAACCACCAGACCGTTCAAATACGGCGCCAAGGTGCCGACGCATGAAGAGCTGAGCAGGGTAGATGACACTATTGTCACCGATGTTAATGCGAGCACCGGCTCGCCGAAGACGCTTGAGGCTCTGATGGAACGAGGATTCGTCGAGGATGCTGAAGGTGGTGGCGGTTCCGCCAAGGAGCTACGAGGTTCGGGGGATCTGGGACTTAGTCCACCTCATGTCTCTTTCGAACACCACGAGGAGGATGGATTTGAGCTGGCGCTGACGAAGAGGGAAAGGCTCGGCCCCAGGTCTGAACATGCTGAATTTGATGGCGTTGATCAGGGCAGCCATTCCCCGGAGCCTGTTGCATCTCTGCCGCCATCCGTCCCTCGCGAGGATCCACCGCATATACTCCATTCTCCGAGCCAGAACCAGCCGACCCCCAACGTCCCTGTCTCGGATGTGGGTCTATGGCACAGCAGCGCCGGCGACTCGGGCATCGACCTCGTCCTGGACTGTGACGCCGCTTCGATGGGCGAGCAGGTCTCCTGGGACGATTACTATGCTCATTATCAGGAGCAGCAACTTCATAACTCTTGGGGCGGAGCTGGGGGACATGTTCGTCACCCGATGCGGGACGCGGACACGACGGGCTACTCGAACATGGCGCCTGTCCAATACCCGGATTCTGATAAGGAGAATACGCCTCCTCTGAGGGTGGAGCCTTCCCATGAACCGCTGCAGATGCGATATCAGGGAGACGTTGACGATAGCCTAGCGTCTGGGATGGATATGGAGGCGTTCAGTGCGAACGGAGATGACCTTCTCGGATCGTCCCTTGCTCCTGCTTCTCTCAGCTTTCCATCTCAGGGGTTGCCCAGGCTTGGTGGAGGCAGTGATGCTGACATCGCTATGGATGATCAGAGCGACCATCCGGGCCATCCTGGAGAGTCACAGTCTTACTCACAAGCGGACGCTCGACGATCAAAACCCTTACTTGCCGAAACGATGGTATTGCCTACGACCAAGGGCTCCCTCGAAGCGTTCTTGACTCTACGGAGGAAGCCCTTCTTGGCACCTCCATCCTCGCCTCCGCCGACTGAGGCTGCTCCCGTGCGCGCAGAGCCTCTTGAGCTTCCTGCACCTGACATTCAGCCTTCTAATCGCCCCCCAAACAAGCTCATCAACCCTCAAACTCTCGTTCTTCCCCCTGACTGGGTTCCACAGTTACACATTCATCGATACCTCGCCTCTTTAACCTTCATCCAGAACCACGGCCTCCTCCGCGTCCTTTCAGGAGACGCACATGTCGACCTTGTCTCGCGGGACTACCTCAATGACGTCGACATCATCGTCGACCCAGAGGCTGGTGTAATCTTCGTCTCTCTCCGCTCCCTGGCTGCGCAGCCCGAATTAGAACGCGTCGCGAAGACGTTGTGCGTCGTCTCGTGGCGCTTCTCCGCTCTACTCGTCGTCTTGCACGCGTATAACTCCTCGGCAGCGCTCAACGCCAACAGGTCGCGGGCGCCGAACGCTGTTAACGCGTATACAACCCCGGTGGTGAAGGCCGTTGCGCGTCTACGGCGTATCATGGGCTTGTCAGAAGGCGCAGGGGATCGCGACGGGCGGTGTGTGCTCACATGGGCATTCGCGGAGAACGTGAGAGAGGCGGCATTCTCCGTACGGCATTTTGCGGAGGGTATGGAAGCAGAAGCTATGAATTCGCAAAAGCAACGAGCGGTACTATGGGGCGACCGACCGTGGATGGATGCTGACGAACAGGATGGTGAGGCAGACATGGCTCATGCCGACGGGATGAACGTCTTCGCGGCATTTGTGATGCTTCTACAGGATCCATTCGATACAATCGTGAGTATGTCGTCTGAGGAGAGGACCCAGGAGTTCTCCGACCTGGTGGGAGCGGACAGGGTGGTGCGTCGCTATTTTGCGTTTAAATTCCATTTGGCGCTGCTACAGCGGCTGCTTGACAGAGGTTGCTAAACGCTAATATTGAGCGTGAGCGAGCTGCGGCCGAAAATCAGGAGCTTCCGAATAGTGACGGAGGTGCTTCTTCGATGTTTGACTACGCATGATGCACTCATAACCTGCACCCCCCGGATCCCTGGCCACATAGATATGTAGATTGTGAATATGGACTTGATACTGACAGGCAAAGACGCATCTACTGCACACCATCGAATATGTACATTGAAAGCCCTGCTTCCATTGTTACTAGGCGTACTGGAGAGAGACTAATTTTGACACCTTTTGATTTTTACCAACGGTTTGAAATGCCCGGTGCCGGAGCTAATCTAGTTCAGGGGCGCTCCCATGTAAAGAGAACAAGATGGAAATCTCAGCTGAGAAGAGGCTGCGATGACTACCGATTTTTGTGACGCGGACGTTCAAAGCACCAAAGCTCAGCTTGCTTTATTATCAATTGGGGACATACTGTATACATTACTGTACCAGTGGACGAACTCAAGAGCTGGGCAGAATGCTTCAAAGTGGGACGTCTCTTCTAGGAATCTCATGTTGCGCGTCGCCAATGAGATAAATTTAATGCGGTCCCCAGATTTTCTTCGACCAAGTGTTATCAAACCGATCGCAAAGTCACATACGATACGATGTACAAAGTTCCGGTCACCATGTGTTACTTCCTTCTGAGCTCTTCTCAGTAGCGTTAGCGGCGAAGTACTGTACTAACGTCGAGCCTTTGGAGGGTATATGGATCACGCTTCCTGAGACAGGTGAGTGATTTATTCTGTTATTGGCTTGCGCCACCAAGACAACCGATACTCGCTTTATTAGCGATCATTTCGAAAACTCTGCTTCGATCAATACAGGTACACATTCATGATCTTTCCAGTTTGAGGGGTGAATGCGGGTCAATACCACGTATGGGCATCTCCCAGTGTCTCCGAGCCCCGATGTTCAAAACTGAACAGCTTAAGATTCTATAGGGCAAACTTTGATATTCTCCGTGAAACTTACGAAGGTAGCCAGTGGCCACGAGTGTACGGTCGCAGCCGACCTCAACCAATCACATGTCACCCTGTCTATTCAAATAAAGGGTCCGTACTGAGATGCGCACTGAATCGATGCGGACCCAGTTTCCCACAGTTTCCCACTCAATGGTTGAGCCTGACCCACATGGCAACACGATTGGAGCTAAAATTCCAGGTGACAGACAGACAGCTTACGTAGCGGTGATCCTTCGACCGCGAAAATGTTATAATGCCCTTCGTCGGCGTCGGTAGCGTTCAGAAGATTTCTCCGCCTCCCCACTGTCTCGGTAGGCGTGTCCTATGGCCATCTCCCTCGAAGAGGCGACGCTCGTTTCATTATTTGTACAATGCATTCTTTATGGTGAGCGTCACTGCGCCCTTTCGATCCTTGTTCAGGCACTCAGGGGCTTTCGCAGGCATTTTTAGTATCATGTTGATGGTATCAACCTATGTCCTTCTGCAGCGGAGGGCTGTGAACCCAAACGTCAGCAAGTGGATATTGGCTGGCGCTCCTTTGATGTTTCTGCTCGCAACGATTGTGAGCTCAGCATCAGTCTCATCCCGGGTTACTCTGATGCGACGTCGCTAGCACGTCTCGACAGACTTAGCGCGAGTCATCATTGCCTTCATACAGAACCCTTCGAATACTTTCAACATCCTGAATTCAAGCGCCTCTACAATATACCTCCTGAAGACCTCTATCTTCATTATTCAGACGTGGCTCGGCGATGGTTTTATGGTACGTGCTATGCTTGGCTTTGAGAAGACGGCCTTGATGATTGGTTAGATATATCGGATGTATCTAGCGTGGAATGGAGCCAAACGGGTTGTGGTTCCTATCTATTTCGCCTACTTGGGCAGTATAAGTGCGTCTCTTATGGACTTTGCCTGTAGCTGTCTTGACGTTGCGACCAGTCGTGAGCATCGGCACCCTTCATGCTTGCGCTACCAAAGCCACCGAAGCTTCGATATTTTCGCTTCGGAACTGGGTTTACGGTTGTTTTGCTATGACCCTGGCAGTGAACTTGACATGCACCGGTGAGAGGCGACCTCCCGTTCCTACAACCTACGCAGATGAACTGATGTTTTGCGTAGTGCTCATCGCTGTTCGGATCCTATATTTTGTCAAGCTCACGCGAAACATTAGCGTGCACGGACGAAATCCTGCGTCTGCCGCGGTCATCGTCATTGAGTCCGGCGCGCTGTACTCGATCTGCCTTATCTTCTTGCTCGCTCTGTTTGGGCTAGAGAACTTCGCGCAATATATTGCACTCGATGCTGTGCGTCCGCGTCATCTCAGGCCCGTCTCACAGCTCCGATCAGCTAACCTTCCAAACGATACAGATTGTTCCCATGGTCGTGAGTATCGAAGTCACGTTTGTTCTGCCCGTCTGACACTTCGTCCTATTCATAGGGCATCGTCTTCACCATGATCACCGTACGAGTCGGACTAGGCATGTCGTTCCAACACGAGACTACGCAAAGGAACACTACTCGTCGCTCGCGCCGCGCTCCGCTGGTGTTTAACCATGTCAACAACACAACTGCGTTTTCGCAGGAGCTCACAAAGCCCACACCCGCCCTCGCCATCAACGTCTCTCGGGTGACACACACCGATGTCGAAGACCGTGAGTACCCGTTGAAAAGCGGCGGTCTCATCCAGTCTCCGTCTGCTGACTCCCAGGAACTTGAGGAGTCGCGATATCTTCCATAGCAGCCTGAGAGACTTGTGTGTACGATTATTTACGATGTTGCTCTATTCTCCATGGGTTATTGTAGAAATCCCTGGTAGGAAGTAATGGAGCCTGATTTTGTACTTCCGATGAGTGGGAACGTATCGACTTTGATGCCCGATATCAAAGTAGTAACTTAAATAGATGTACGGCCGCAGCAGGCATTCATAGTCGGGAATTCACAGCTTGAGGCCAAATCCATTTCATATAGTCGATAAGTCAGTACTATAGACCGTATTCGACTAACCAACAAAAGAGAGACGGTTAGTCGTTAGCTTTTCTAATTTTCATCAGGCTAACGAGATATTATGCGGCGGAAGCCCTCAGTAGGACATTCATACATGACGACGTCTACAGCGTTGACATATGAATGTGAGGCAAGCGCAGCAAATCTTTATCATATAGATATCAGCGCTGAAACCATAGCACGATCTACGCGCACCTTGACAAAAGATAGACTAAAAACCGTGATCCAGCGATAAGGATGTGCCGTGTGTTTCTCGCGGAGGACTGGATTCTGCAAGGATGAAGGCATGTCGCGTTCAAAGAAGCAGACAATAGGAAAACATGGAGAGCTTTGGGCTATGACAACGAATTCAAGAAAGATTTGGACGGTGTCTTATTCAATAAAGGTCAGCTTTCTGCTATTAGGTTAACTGTGCACTAGGAATTGACCACATGCCTACTGTCATCGACAATCACCTTATGTCCATGACATGAGCGTCTACCGCGGCATTCAATTCTAGTTATTTCATAATTGTAGAACTGTTTGTAGCTTATGCCCACTACGTTCAGCGCTCATCTTGAAATCTTGCTCAGTTCCTTGTGAGAGCCGAGTTATATTGTGCGGCCCCGACATGTAAACGTCCGACAAGTGCTGCCTCCCGGCTGGCCAGGAATAATAAACGTATCAACTCAGCATATGGCCATTGAATGAAAAGAAAGCATACCAATCATTTAGGAAACTCTCTGTCGGATGCGTATAAAAGGCCAGTGATTGAAGCTCTGGGTATTGATATCGAAAAGCATGGCTTCCGCTGCAACCGTCTTACCTTCCCAAGTACCTGACGCCCCCATCGCCCATGCCGAGAGAAAGCGCCAGAAATGGGAGGATTCTGTGTACATACTGCCTGCAGACAAGGAGGAAGATGACAGGTAGGTCCCTATTCTCAGCCTACCTCAGTGACGTCCTCTAACAAAGTCGTAGGCTCTCGCTTCAGCATAACATTCTGAAGAAGGCATACGAGGGACGGCTTGTCTTTCCTCCCATCGCCTTGGTGGATGGATCGTACGTGCTAGATAATGGATGCGGAACGGGTGAGCCGTTAAGCAGTGTCGATTTATGATGGGCGCTCACCGTGCGAGTCCGTCAGTGATCTGGAGCATCGAATTCGCCCAGCAGGTCTCCGAAAAGGTCCTCGTGAAGGGTATCGACATCGAGAGCGGCATGTTCCCCGCGAAGTTGCCTTCCAACATCGAGCTCTCAGTGGGCTCGATGCTCGACCTGCCCGCCGATTGGACTAACAAGTACGCTCTTGTCAACCAGCGGCTCCTCATGGCTGCACTCTCGGGCGCGCAGTGGGAGGTGGCGCTCAAGGAAGTGTTTCGGGTGACCGCCCCTGGCGGATGGGCTCAGTTCGGCGAAGTCGGCAACTGGCGTGCAGGCCCCATCTCGGAAGGCCATCATGACATGATGGAGGTCATGTACGCGAAAAGGGGTCTCCTCCTCCACATTACGGATCTACTTCCGGGTATGCTCAAGAAGGCCGGGTTCAGGGACATCCGCACGGAGAAGCGCGTCTTGCCTCTCGGGAGCTGGGAAGGTCCCGAAGGTGCGCGGGTCTGCAGGAATTTCATTGACGTGTACCGTGCCATGAAGTCTGTGCTGCTCAACTATGGCGGATTGGGGTACGTAAAGTCAGAATCCGAGTTTGATGACTGGCTGGACCGCGTAGAGAAGGAGTGGAACGAGACGAACGGCTCTGAATTAGAGTTTTATGTCTTCTACGCACAGAAGCCGGTGGCTTAGCACCCTATCATAGTAGCATGTATTCTCTAGAGTTTGTTAGTTGTAAGATTGATGCTGTATCTATGTGCCTCTTACTGAATGGTTCGCGCTTCAATGAATGAGATAATCAAACTCCACAAGGGAGTAGGTGTCCCGGCTCATGGCAACCATGACTTTTCCGACCGGCGAATGTCGTGCTGCTTTGAGTACTCCAATTCCTATTACAATGCTTATTTGTACCAACCAGGCAGCGCCTGAGCGTAGCTGCGAGTCCTGATAAAGCCTATAAATACAAGAAGCATCAGAGCCGTAGTTAAGTAAGCCCTTTGGAGCATCTCACCTCCTGTGCGTGTCTTCGTCGGACTTATGTCGGTTTGGAAGAGGCTTGCGGTGACACTGATTCTGAAGACAAAAAATACCATGTGTATGTAGCGACGAAATCTGGCAGGATTGCAGGTGAGTTCAGCGAAACCAGTGCGTCGCATGCGCAACAACAAGCCGCGGTGGCACCTTGTCTACCCAATAACGTCCTTGACCAACGACGGGAGCTGCGCCGTCAGCACAACGAGACACGATGTTAGGTCAGACTTTGCACGCTATAGGATCGAGATGATTGATGTGTATGGGATCCCATGCGTAACTGCAGGATCACTAGAGCGGATGGGAGTTATTGGACCCGCTGGTTGACTCAAGTTGTGGAAACGATTACTCACTAATGGCAGACTCCGTATGAAGGGTCATGACTAGGACGCATTAATAACGGATGAGAGGCCCCAGAAACGAGTTCCTGGTCGATCAGGCCCGTTTCGCCCGTTATCATGGCCGTTGCTGTCCTACCTGTCCAATCTACTGTGGACACTCCCATCGCTCACAAGGAGCGCAGCGACCAGACCTGGGCTGGGTCATCGTACATTCTGCCTTCGGATCAGGAGAAGATGATAAGTGAACGAGTGATTTATGCCATACGCCTTTCGTGCTCGTTTATGATCCATGCTGTTTCCGCAGCACAACGTCCTAAAGAAAACACACGAGTGAAGGCTCGTTATCGCACCCATCATCCCGAGCGACGACGCGTTTGTGCTACATAGCGAATGTAGAATATATCAGCCCAGCGTTCCATCCCTTCAAACTATACACACCAAGAATACTCACCGGTTCACGCCAACGGGCATCTGGCATTGACTTCTCCCGCCAGGTCTCCCCAAACGGCATCATCAAAGGCATCGACCTCTCCGGCGACGTCGACCTCTCTCTCGTGTCCCTACTCGGCCTTCCGCCCTCCTGGACTGACACCTTCACCTTAGTCAACCAGGGCGTCCTCATCGCACTCACCGCCCTGTAGTGGGAGGTCGCACTCAAGGGATCGCTGAGCGTCTTCACGTCCGGCGGCTGGGCCCAGTTTGGCGAGGCCAGCACCTGGCACTCGGATCCCGTCACCAGAGGAGATCTACGTCGAGAAAGGGCTGCTGCTGAACATCGCCGAGGTCCTTCCTTTGTTGTTGCTCAAAGCGGGGTCCACGAACATGTACAAGGAGAAGCGTGGTCTGCCGCTGGGCACCTGGGCGCGACAGGATGGTGCGGAGGCGGGAAAGAACTTTGCAGACGTGTTCCGAGCCATGAAGGCTGCGTTGATGAATCGTGGAGGGTTGGGATATGTGAGCTCGGAAGATTTTGACACGTGGTTGAATGTGGTTGAGCAAGAGTGGAACGAGATGGAGGGTTTAGAGACTATCTTTTATGTTTTCTATGCGCAGAACCCAGCGCTATGAATTATTATTCGTATTGGGCACTTGCCCTGCTGCTAAGAGTAACAAGAGGTATAACAGGAGAATGCCATAAAAGAAAGTAGAAAAGCACTTAGCGCGACTACTCCAACCATCCCCGTCGTCTTCCCTTACTCCTTCTTCGCCTCCCTCGCAATCTTCCGTAGCGCCCGCCTCCGAATATCCGTGTGCAGACCGTGCGTGTGGCTGATGAACAGTTGCTTCCACCCGACGACGTGGATCGCCCAGTCGAGCAGCGCGTGGCCCCAGTAGGGCGTGCTTGTCGCGGGCCGGTTGGTGAACGCGGCGCCGCAGGGCGAGCCGATCTTCGAGAGGGCGGAGCGCACGTAGGCTTTGGGGGTGGGGACGAAGAGGGAGGGGCGTTTGATGTTGGACATTTTGGAGACCTGTGTGGGCACGGGTTAGGCGGGGTTTGGTTCAGGGAATGGGACGATGGGATGAACAGAAGGAAGGTGAAAGCCGATGCAGAGATACGGAGAGCAAAACGAGTAGCAATGTGGCGAGGGACATACCACGAAATAGGTGTTGAGATGCTCCACAACAATACTGTGACCTTTGACCTCCTCCGCGAGCGCATCCGAGAAGGTCGACACGAACGCCTTGGTGCCCGAGTAAGTCGCGAGCATGGGCGAGGGAACGGAACCGGCAAATGAGCCTAGGTTGAGGATCAGACCGCGTTTCCTGCCATGCATATATGCGTCAGAGTCGTTCTTCTCATGAGCTGCACAACATGTACATACCTGGCAACCATGCCAGGAAGGATGGCGCGCGTGACGCGCACGGTACCGGCGACATTGATGGTGATGATGTCGTCCATGAGCTTCTCGTCCGCCTCCGCGAAGTAGGTCGGCATGTCATACGAGCGGCCGACGCAGTTCACTAATGTACGTATGAGCGTGAGCATGTAATGTCTGAAATGCGGGAGTAGGGGAAGCAGGAAAGAATGACATACCGAGAACGCCGACATCCATCCCAGCAAGAACAGTCTTGAGGTTCGCGTACGAGGCCTCGTCATTCTTCGAAAAGTCGACGAGCTCAATGCGTGTCTCAACCGAGCTTCCGCACTTCTCAGCTAGGTATCCAGTAAGTATGCGCGCATACATTGAAGGGAAACGAAAGAAGAACATACAGATGGCAGCGGCGACATCACCAAGCATCCTGTTGTTCCGCGCGACGAGCAAAATGTTGTAGCCTGCCTGCGCGAGCTGGATGGAGAATTCGCGGCCAATTCCATCCGAAGCTCCAGTAACAACTGTAAGAAGGCTGTTAGATGATGTAGGCACCTCTGGTGGACGAAAGGACGAACCTGCCCAAGCGCCTTTCTTCGCGCCAAACTTTTTAAGCTATTGCAAAGGGTTGAATGGAGCGAAGCAGACGGGAGGAAGATGCAACAAACGTTATGACCCGGGAGGATGAACGTCTGGCTGAGGAAAGCGATGGTCTTGAGTGCGTACTTGGTGAACGTCAACGCGCCGGTGAGCAGTAAAAACGCGGAGAGTAGTGGCCATTCGTTAACTGGAACGGATTTGCATCAGGTTTTCGCCGTAAAGAGGGGTGGTGTGAGTGACATACCCTCTGAAAGCTTTGACTGAACGAGTTTCTGGAGCCCAGACGACATGACGGGGTGTTATGGACGAGGTCAAGGGGAGAAAGAGGCACGCGTCTAAAGTGTTTCGCGCAGCGCGGAGGCTGTCTGTCGAGAAGCCGCCGGCGTCCATAATCTCATCCACCTCTCACACCCCCGCTGTCGGCTACCCGGCTTTCCTCACAATCACAATCATTGACTAGGTCGGTCTTCAAAAAGGTTCGGCATCGTGTATAAACATGCACCTAACTCTGACCGAGGTCATAGAACGTCACTGATTTCGACACGGGCCTACTTTTTGTGCTGGTGAGTGTCGTACACTCCCATATCATATGACCATGCTTCATGCCTCTGTTAAACTTCTTTGATACTGCTTCTAGCGAGAAACAACAGCTTTCAACAATGTCAAAAGACCTGCGAGCAAAGGTATCAGCAGATGAGGACGAGGATCTCGACGATCTCGATGGTACGTCTTCATCCTCACTCTTACGTTTCTCAATCCACAAACATCCTATCAGACGTCCTCGACCAATTCTCTGCAAAGACGCAACCTCAGAAACCACCCTATTCCACCACCACTTCCGCAGCTTCTGCCATCTCCCCTCCCTTCTCCCCTTCCTCAATTGCCCCTGAACCATCCCGCTCTCCCGCTCCCCCTGATCCCTCATCTTCACTGACCGACTTCGCCTCTGATGACTTCACAGCAGAACTTGCAAAAGGCATGGAATCCCTCATGTCCGAACTCGGGTTCGACCCTAAAACCGGCGGCCTCGGCGGCGCCCCTCCGGGCCCGGGCGCGGTCGACAAAGACGACAAGGACCTAACGGAAGCGGAGAAGAAGGAGCGCGACGAGCAGCAGAAGGCGTTTGCAGCCGCATGGGAGGCGATGCTCCTCGAGGAGATGAACGCCCCGCAGAAACAGCCGTCCACCACCCCCGGTGCATCAACATCCTCGTCGACATCCAAAGGTCCTGTAGGCGCAGCGGGGCCTGAGCGCCCGCCGACGGGCCCGCAGGACTACCAAACGCGCCTGCGAGATGCGATGAACAAGATGAACGCGTCCGAGTCGACACTTAAGGATGGTCAGGCTGCGTTCGACCCGTCGAATCCGATGGAAGCGCTCCTCGCGCAGCTTGCAGGCGGGGCGGAGGGGGCGGAGAGCGAGGACGAGATGAAGGGAATGCTGGAGATGATTATGGGTCAGCTGATGAGCAAGGATGTGCTGTATGAGCCACTGAAGGAGCTCTCGGATAAGGTGTGTTATGCGTCGACCTCCTCATGGTCACCTCCTTCCTTCATGGATTGAACTCCTTCTCCTATATAGTTCCCCGACTATCTCGCAAAGAACGCGTCCGCTCTCTCCGAGGCGGATAAGACTCGGTACGATGCACAGGTGATCAACATCAAGTCACTGCTCGACGTGTTCAACGAGCCGGGGTTCAGCGATACGGATTCCAAGTACCAGGACCGCGTTATGAAGCTCATGGAAGAGGTACGCACCGTCTCTCCTGCTCACCTCTCTCAACGTCTTCGTTATCAATCAGACGTGATTTCTGACGCACAATACAGCTTCAGAAGCACGGTTCTCCGCCGGAAGAGATCATGGGACCCCTACCAGAGGGCTTCAGCATGGGCGCGGACGGCATGCCAAACATGCCTGAGGGCTGCATCGTTTGTTGATTGGATGCTAGCCATGGCTATCTCGGTGTCAGGCGGTTGCGTGCTGGCTTGGGAGTATGATCTCCGTAGAGGATGCGACCATTCGTTACCCTGGCTTATCCGGGTCAACGACCCGGAATGTGGACTTTGTTTCTTGGAGACCGGCTTGCGCTCTTGGAAAGAACGTCCGTTCTGATCGAATTTGGTGCCCAAGAGTTCAACGTCCAACTCTAGTCTGTCTTCGACAAGGCACGATGTGTATGTTACTACATTTTTGTTCTTGTTTTCTACCCTGTTCTTCCCCATTGCTGTTTCCTATGTCATAGCGTACCAAATACAAGGATATCACGTATTCATTCGCGTCGCCTCTTCGATCGCTCATACTTCTGAGTTGGTCGTCCGATATGAGCGGTCTTGGACAGAAGGTAAAACACATTTTCAGCTGCTAAGTTTCACGTTCTCTTCCCTTTACACATTAACACGGAAACTTCTTTGTTTCTTCAGTCACCGCCTCCGCCTGGTCCCATTCCCATGGCACCGGAAAGCCCGTCTTCATACTAGAGCAGGCTAGCAGCGGATTTTTTCCCAGCAAATTTCTGAGCACGTTCGCATTTAGTTGCGACCCACTTGACGCAGGACTTGGCGGGTCTGCGCCAACACTGACCTGACTTACTGTGCCGTGCTCGGTTTCTTAGGCCTTAGGCACCGGTACCGACGACGCCACGAGCGCTCAAGTGCACAAGTAACGGTACGTGGCGAGAGGTCTCGAGTTACTCACCAGCAACGACTTTAATGGTGTGCCTTCCTCGTTATTGCTGGCGATTGTGCAAAGTGGCGTCCGTCGGCATGCGCCACTCGCTATCATCCGTCTCTCCTTCACTATACCGTAGCTCCAAGAGCATGGATGCAAGTACCACTGCCAGGGACTTGGTACAATGAATGTTGACAGACAAGCCCATCGTCTCCCAGTGTTTAGGATGCGTGATTGATCAAGAACGCTTACGTGGTTCATTTTCATGGACCTAACGAAATGAAGACTGTGGCGGTCGCGTCTGTCAATGAACTTTCCACTTCCCCGCCTCGCCCTTCTCCGCTTTCATAAGAACTACAATAAGAAAGGACGTGGCACGATCAACAAAGACCTTTAATGTGCCTTGTTCGTTTATTCGTCTCTGTGGCTGCGATGACTTCAAGGTGCAAGAGCCAATCAGACCGCACGGTTTCGTCAGGCGTCTAACGGATGATTGAGTTCAAAGTCTGTTTTGTGGATACAGTCGTCATTGATTAGAGGCGTCATTGTAGAAGGTGGTGATCTGAGCTGATAATCCAGAACGTTGAGTACCTGCAGATACCTGCACAGCCTTCAGGGCTCTGACGGTTTTACTTGGTGTACCAGCGGTACCGTGTCGAGGTTTTCTGATTGGGAACCAGACTCAAGATGCGTAGGGGTGAATATCAGAACAACGATGATAGCCCTATCTTTTGGTGTACAACCTACCGACCCACTAGGGTTTTATCCGGTCCCACAGGCGAACTTTACTGGCATATGAACTTTCTGATCGCAGTTATCCAAAGTTATCCCTTCTCTCGGAAAATCTGGGAAACTCCGTTTCAGTAAAGTTTTGTCTCCAGGTGCTACCTCACTACCCCGCATGCACCAACAGCCCCATCCTAGTCATCAGCGCCCACATAGTAACATGAATACCCGAACCGTTCAAAGACCCCTCGCATGACGATATCTTTGCCCTGCAACAATCACGCGGTACAATGCACGAAGGTACCTTGGCGAAAATCCCCGTGGCCGGATATTTTTTTGAAGCTTGGGCGTATCTCAAAGGAGCTCGATCCACGCGCTCGATCCTCCTGGTGCGGCGCATGCTGCTCTTTGTCGCTCCCACACCTCGACGGCCGCCGCCGAGGCTACTCCTATCTCGGCATCTGAATCTGGACCTGCCATCGGAAGGTGATCGAGGAGATAAATGGCGTGCAACTGGTTCATCCGGGAGACGGCAATTGAGTGGATCTCGGCGCTAATACAAACGTTAATCTCTTCGCTATCTTTCACTCCTTTCCGACGGCTTCGGTAGCATTTCGCTGCATGGACATATGGAACAAGCTCGTAGTTATGAACATGGGCTGGTCAAAAGTTGTCAATCTATAATTAAGTTCGTAAATACATGATCAAAGAAGATCTGTGTTCAAACCACGATAGCCGTCAGGATTAGACCTGCGACGATGGGCCGTACGGTATCGTATACACTACTTAGCGCGGCGAGGCACAGGTGGTCGTTAAGGAGTAAGAATACATGGAGAATAAGAAATGCAACTAAGTCCGATAATATCAAGAAGCCAGCGCTCGGAAACCGGGTTATTCAACAGCGGAAGGGGCGAAGTAATCTATCAAACTGGTAGTCATAACACACCGAAAATCACGCGTAGCCGAACGACTCGACATGCAGAGAGACGCTCGGACCGCCATTCAAAACACTCAACGGCCCTGAAACGGGGAACCGCACCGCCTCGCGCGTGGCACGAGCAATAGTATCAGAACCGCACACTGTAACAAAAGGTTGTAGTCAGTATCCACGCCGTGAAAATCAAAGATCAAACTCACCGCTCACTGAGAGCCGCCTGCTCGTCGTAGCCACTTCATCACCGATGAGCACTTTGAGGTTAGGCCGCCCGCTCTCAACGCGCACAGCGCTGAGTGTAAGCACAGAATCCTGATCCTTGAGTGAGAGTGCAGGTGTCACACCGGGAGTCTGCGTCTTCTCCGAGGATGCGTCGGTGTCTTGTCTTTGCGAAAGCGATTGGGGAGCCTCAGGAAGAGTTGGTAGCGCCGAGCCGGTGACGTGAATGCGGATTGAGAGGGAGAGGGAGGATGGGGCGAGCTGTACGGCTTTGATGAGCGCTTGCTCGATCCATTGAATGTGACCTTAAGACGAGTGTTAATGGGATAAAACCGGAGAAGACACGATGAGACGCACTGGCATCGCGTATGGACCAGATGAAGACGACGCGTGTGCACTTGCTGACATTGTTCCGAGCACTCTCGACAATGTTCAGGAGGACAGGGAGCGTGTACGACACGCCCGAGCCACCGGCGACAAGCACGCACGTGTCGAAGCACCCAAACTCGGGCGAAGGGCCGTAAGGTCCATCGATAAACACTCTCATTTGACCGTTAGAGGCAGCGACCTCGCCGAGGCGCTTTGTGAAGCCTCCGCGAATGTTCACAAGGAACACGACTTCCTTCCAGAGCGAAGAGATCGACTTTTCGTTCTCGTCAAACTGCTCCGGCTGGAACAAGCTCGAGTCGATGCTCGCGATGGTGAATGGGTGAGCCTCGAATGGGAGCTTCGAGACGGACGGCATGATGAGGAACGCCTGCTGGCCAGGGGACCAGTGGAAGTGAGAGGGGCGCTTCATGCGGACGCGCACAAGGGTGTCAGAGATCAGCTCCGCGGTCGCGTCCATGGTGCCGCTACCGGATTTGAAGCCGAAGTAGGAGTGATTGAAGATGACCAGGCGGGCGAAACGGACGACGCGATCGAGGCCCCAGAAAATGAAGGCGGGCCATATCCAGTAGTAACCGCTAGAAAAAAAGTAGTTAGCATCGGAGATGTCGGGGAGATTTGAAATAGATACGAACTGTTGCGCTTTGACATGGAAGAACCCGCCTAGAAGGAAGATGCTATGGCGTGCATGATTCAATAAGAGCGTAGGGAGAAAAGGTAGATGAAAAAAAAACTTACAAGACAAGCAACATGTGCGAGTAGAAGAAGAACTCATAGAACCGGGAACGAAGAGGGCGAAGGGATATCACGGTGAGGACCGTCAGGGCGGTGAGGGCTGTAATACCTATGCGCAGCCATGGCTCCTTCAGCTCCTCCTGGAATGGAGCAAAGCTATACACCTCGCTTCCCGCATGAATCCATAGCATGGACATGACCGCACGCGCCATCACCCGATGCATGTAGTTGAGCTGAGATATGATAAGGCACTGTTCTAATGTATGGTGACGGGAAAAATACCCACTTGATCATAGCTAATTCCGGTCACCACTGTCGCCAGTCAAACGGCACTTGTGAGTCTCCCATCCATGCAGGATAATAAATAATAGTACTGACGAGTGACGAAACTATTCTTTGTGCCCAAAGCCGCGAGCAACGGGATCTGGCTGGAGGCAAGGAGCGCTGCTCGGTTACTCCAGTACTTGATGTCGTAGTGGACACCTTCGAGATCGGTAGCTGTTCATAAGTACAAACCTCGGTTAAACTCGTCTGCAGGAACGAGGATTGGTAGGTAGCAACGTACTGTTGATGAACTCAAACGTATACAACAGAGCAATGTATCCAGCGGTGACGAACAGCTCCGCCACGCTGAAGGAGTAGAATTTGCCGATGTCGAGTGTCCACCGGTAGGCGATAACCCGAAAGACATTGAGGAGCATGACGGGAATTCGTCCGATAGAAAATCCTCGCGACGGTGAGGGAGCACCACTTTCGATATCGGTAGACCGTCTTGACCGGCTCAGCTTCGAGTGGATGTACGAGCCCCAATTGAAGACGCCGACGACGAACATGAAGATGGCGACGGACCACCACAGCTCGAGTGGATAATCGCCGAACCTCTCAACGCGGAGCGAACTGTCTGTTGGGCCCTTTGGCTCGGACGTGGAACCAGCCATCGCACGAAGAAAGAATATGGAAGACGCGGGACAGACGGTGAGGTCGAAGAAGGGAAGACGAGGTCTCTGCAGAAACGTCATTCAGCGAAAGCCATCTTGAAAATATAGGTCCGACATCTGCAAGGGATCGGGAGGCCCAGATCTGGAGGCGTCCCAATGTTTGTCATCACGCGACGCGATACGAACACCGTGTACGCTGTTTTGCAGTTTTCGACCATGTCCGGGTAAGCATGCCGCAATAACTGCGGATATTCAGCGCTGGTTTCGAGGAAAGTTAGGGAAAGTCTCCGCTGTCAGCATTTGTCTAGGGCATTGATGCCGGAAGGCCAGGTGCGGCAAGGAGACCGCCAAGGACAACGCATGATCGGCCATGATGGCAGTGCCGCGATGACGGGGAGCCCATGAGAACATGACCTACAAAAAAGGATAAGTCGGCAATGAGCGGCGTCAAACTCGCGTGCGCGTCTTATCTGATAAAACATTGATAGACATTGATGCCTTGCGTGCCCGCAAGGATACAGAGGTGATCGACAGGCCAGCTTGCCGAATCGCGCAACCTTCATCAGCGTCGTATGGACGTCCCCTTAGTCGAAGCACGCAACAAAACCCGAACATTGCTGATAAACAGCCAACTGAGCCGGGAACGAGGTTTCCGGTTGGGGTTTTTCCATTCGATGAATCGGGGCTCTGGGAAGCTCTAGTCCACTGCAGCCTATTTCAGCCTTGCCGAGTTAGTATTGAACGTTAAAGCGCAGCAAGGACACTGCCGACGCGTACGCTGATCAGCGCTCAGGGCATATCTTACGATTACCTCCCCGTTGGACCTTTTATGTCATAGTGAAGGGGAGGAAGGGAGGAAGTTCTTCGTAGAAAGACCTCATCCGACGGACTGGGCGTATAAAGAATGCTGATGCACCAGAACCGCGGATGTGGGTCACGGAAAAGTCGCCACACCGAACAGCACCGAACTCTGTTTCTAGGTCTTTAGCCGACGAACCTGATCATGTCATTCGCCAGTTACGGTGCCTGTTGCCCGAGGATACAAAGCGCTTACCGAGACCTTTGTCACCTGTCAGGTAAGTAATTCACAGATCCACAAGCTCAAATCCCGATGTCAAGATCGTAAGTTTGGAGTAAGATATTTTTATTGTTGAATCGCAACTTGTGGCATGACCCTTCTATGTGCACGATGCGCCGCCACCGAGAGTGAGGTAGTACGGTCCCTTCGTCAACTAACCCTTGATGATTAGTAAACGCGCTGTAAACTTGCCTTGTGTCTCCCACAAAATCTAACATCTCACAGCACCAACACTAGAAGGGAGAAATACAACCAGACGGATGTGCTGATTCAGCTCAAAGCTCACCTAATACTGCATGTCATTGGTCAAATGGGCTGCGGAGGACAGGTATAGTCTTATGGTGATTGTCTATAATGACGTCGGGAGGCTGTTCGACAAAGTGGAATCCCGAGGGGCTCGGCCTATTCATGTCGTCTTCCGACCATGTCCTAACTTGGTATGATACCGCCAGGTATAGAGGCAGTACCACTACTAGACGGTATCAGGATTTAAGCTTAAGGCAAGAAGGCATGCGTACACACTCGTTTATCCTGCTGCGCGTTGTGTTCAGCCTCGCGCAGCACATGACAAAACACAGCAATCTCTAGAAGTGACATGATACACTATATGCGTTTAGACTGCACGACTCCACAATCAATTAATAGAACTGACCTTTCTCGAAGCCTCAACGTTCATTTTCAGTCCCCGCATCCATGACAAGCCGCAGCACTTCAGCGCCTCAATGGTGATAGACGGCGCGGCAAGAGCGGCGAGGTTAGCTGTTAACTTTGCGAATCAAAAGGGCTTGAACCACAGGGCAGCATGAGCGGGGATCATCGCAAAGGTATACTTGAAGCGTAGACAACAGTACACCTGAGCCATTTTGTTCATTCAATACGAGACGCAGCGGCCTCGCCCCGTTCCCACAGAAAAGCGCCCGGTGCTCACTGGCCGGTAACACAAACCCCGATGGATTAGCAACACCGCCCTGCAGCTCACATCGTACGATATCCTCACCCACCCTAAGCTTATCTCCCCGCAAAAACATCCCCGGAAAAAGACCAAAGCTATGCCATCAAAAGGGGTTGCCCTCATCACGGGCGCGGGGCAGGGCATCGGGCGGGCGATTGCGCTGCGGCTTGCTTCCGACGGGTTCGATATAGGGCTGAGCGATCTCGCCTCGAACGAGGCGAAACTTCAGGCAGTCGCGGAGGAAATCCGGTCACAGTATCCCGAGAAAAGGGTCGCCACGCAGACGGGGAACGTGACGGTTGAGCAGGATGTTGAGAACGTGATCGAGCAGCTTGCGACGGAGCTTGGTGGACTGGACGTGGTGAGTAGGATGGCAATGCATCGCGCATACATGTCACGCAGCGCGGTGGTAGCTACGCGAAAGAGAGCACGCTCGGGGCTGACAAGTCGGTGTTTGATGGTTGTTGTTTGCCCGGTGATCGCCTTGGTTGATTGCCGCGCATCGACGTCAACTTGAAGGTCGTCGCAAACGCGGGGAAAATCCACTCTGCCCCTCTTATCGACAGTAAGCTCTCAATCTGTTGCTTTTGTTGGAAACCTTACACTTGGCCCGTATAGCTAGAGTTGAAGATTGGGATACCATCTTCGCAATCAACGCACGCGGGGTGTTCTTGACCTACAAGCATGCAGCGCGGAAGATGATCGAGCTCAACGCGACGCACAAGCGTGGACGTCGCATTATCGGTGCAAGTTCCTTGTTGGGAAAGATGGGCGAGCATGCGTTTGTGGTTTGTGGTGAAAGCAAACTACTGACCATTCTCTAGGAGAGGAGACGATGTGCGCATACTCGGGGTCCAAGTTAGTCTCCTTTTTGCAGCCGTTTTACACGTGTCGCTGCGCTCTTTTGACGCTGTGTAAAAAGTTTGCAATTCGAGGTCTTACCCAGTGTGCTGGTATGTGCTTCGTTCCAACATGTTTTGAAGACGATCGTGACGCGCATACATCCAGCTACCGAGCTTGGCGTCCACGGTATCACAGTTAATGCATACGCACCCGGTCCTACCCAGACCGCTCTACGTGAGTAGCCCCTATTTCTCTCCATATTCTCGAGTCTCGAGCCTCGAGAGTCGCTAGCCCGTAACATTGACATTTGTACCCGGGTTGATTGATTCTGACATCGCTGGCATGTCGACTAATGACATTGACAGTCGCAGATCTAAACAAGCAAACCATGGAACGTTTGGGATCAACAGATCAGCGCGTCTATGACGACGATGTCAGTGCAACTCCCTTCTTTGTATCACCGCCTGTCTCCTGCCTTTCACCGTCGCCCTGCTGATCTGCTGGCCCGGTGATCACCGTATGATGTATTGGTGGTGCCGTGGCGTAAAACAGGTGCTCAAGAAAATGAGCCTCAAGTACCTAGGAAAAGCCGAAGACATCGCGGCCCTTGTATCTTTCCTCGCCTCAGAGGAATCGCACTTCATTACAGGTATGGTCCTCCTAATATTCTTGCCTTGTTTAAGCGCCTCTCTCTGAACCTTACTGATCGTGCCTTTCCTCGTGATACGCTCTGATACACTCTGGCCCTCTCGATACGCACCGGCCTTCGCGGGGACATTACTTCACACTGCATACTTTCACACTTCGGACGGGTTGTCGGTGGCACAGGGCAAAGCGTGAGTATCAGTCCTGGACACTGTTGGCAGGCACAGAAGACTAACGCGAGCGACCCACCTCGCAGATCACTATTGACGGAGGCAGGCACTTCGACTAATCAACGTATCTGATAACTTCTGTATCATTGTTGACTGAATTATGATTCGCGGATAGTAGAAACATGGGGCGGCGGAATTCTGAAATCGTAGTCATAGGTTCATCTTGTACTGGTATTTGTTTTACGTTCGCACTATATTAAGGAAGATCATACCCACCATATCCTGCCCTGACAGACCAAACACCAGGTCATCGCGAGACCGACACGTCCGCGTCGCCACGGGCCACGTCCTCGCACAGCTGTTTGTGACCAAAGACCTGAAGACTGTCACCAGAGTTGACAAGAGAACGGGAAACAGAGTTAGGGACGCGATGAGATACAGGCTGAGATGGAGGCCCACTCCCGCTCGCATCATGCTCTTGATCACGACGACGGTGTCGCTGGCGAGCGCCGGCCACGTTGGATTCGGTGGGCGCGCTCCGGGTGCGCCGGAACTTGTACCGGGGTCGCGTGAGCGTGATGAAGGCGGTGTCGACGTTGAAGTGTCTGGCGCCAAGATTATCGCTATGCGCGCGTTGGAGCTTTGTGTGGGAGCGGAGGAGGCGGTCCGAGACAGAGCTGGAAGGCAACTTTGCAGCAAATGGGGTAGCAGAGGACGGTGTCGCCGTGAGGGGCTCCTCAGGGGTCGACCGCGGCGGGGGAACCGAAGCTGAAGATGTCGGGCATGTGGATCGAGAAGTGCGTCTAGCTGAACACTGCGGTCCGGAAACCAACTGCGAATTAGGCTGAGTAACGCGGCGTCTCTTTGTATCCTGAGAAGTCGTCGGTACTCGGTTGGGATTGACATCCTTAGGAACAGCATCCTCTTCCCGAAGCGCATCAAGAGTAGCGCGAGCTTGTTCAGAACGGGTATTGGATGGTCTTGCACGGGCGCGGGTCGACGGGCTAGACATAGGACTACTAGGCATGAGCAGAGAAGAGAGGTCGCCGTGTGTCGCACGTGGTTGATGGGAGCCAACGAAGGGGTCACCGCGGGCAACGTTAAGGTCCAAGTCGGCGAGGACTTTGCGAATCCGCACAGGTCGCGGAGCAGGTGGGACGGACGCTGTGCTGTTGTCATCGAGCCAGACGCCGAAATTCTCGCGTTCCTTCTCAGCTTGAGGTACATTCTCTTCTTCGTCCGGGTCGTCACCACCGGTGGGAACGTCAAGTTGGGAAGAAACTCCAGACACAGCAAGAGCCCAGGAGCGGCGTGAACGGGTGGCGGGAGCAGGTGTTATAGGTACAGCATATTGAAGGGACGATTGGTGAAGGTTCTGGCTGTTCAGTAAGATGGCTGCATCCGAGCGAGATCGCGAACGTTTCCCGAGCAGGGTCCTCTGAGAAGATCGGGATGTGCCCGTGGCTGCATCGAGAGCAAGACGCATCGGCGTAGCCAGGATCTTTCCGCTGTACTGAGCCATAGAGATGAATTGGTGCGTGGTTAGGCAACTGGAATGGATGTAGGAGCGCGAGATAGAGTACCGAGAAAGAGATGCGAGTTTTGAAGACTCATCAGTAGGACGCATTGCGAACGAAACTGACCATGACCGAGTCAGTGTGTGGATCAGCCCAGACATCCCTCTTCGGCCCGTCTTTTCCTCCTCGGCGGCCGTCGCATGTCCTTCACCAACGTCTTTAGAAAGATACGTAAGCCATGTTGATAATTCAGGTTGAAGGAATCCGTAGGTGAGATGAAAGCGCTACAAGTGTGGTAGCAAAGTGAAGCGCTGAAGACAGGCAGCGTCCGATACCGACATAAATCCCCGGTCACGTGCGTTCAATTTGGCCGTTTGTCGCGCCCCGGGTTCTTTACTCTCCACTTCACCCCACGACGAGCAGATACGGTACTCGTTTTCGGTCTGCTAGTCCGCATTCATGGAACGTATAAGAACCCTCAGATATCTTTTCTTTGAGCTACAGGCACCACTTCCAAACGACTAAGCACGTCACATCCTACTTTATCTTCCTTCAGAATGGTCCAGTCTCCTATCATCCGCGTTGCGCTCACTGTCGTTACCTCCGTGTTTGTGTACTATGCTCTCAAATTTCTTCGCTTCCAGTACCGCAAAGTTACTTCTCCGCTTCACTGCATACCAGGGCCCAAGTCTACCCATTGGTTGATGGGTAACCCTGAGGTGATGGGCAAGGTACGTTTTGGGCCAGACTCCTAACTTGGTCTGTGTGTGATACTGAGAAACACGCAGGACTCTCAGCAGACTCAACAGGGCTGGATTGCGAAATTGTGAGTACATATATGTGATAGCTGGACCTCTATCTAAGGTTACTATGTTCGAAGTGGATCGACGTTCACGTTCTTCGGCCCGTTCAATGTATGTGCCTCACTCACTCTTTCATGGCCAATCCGATGCGCCCCAATTTGGCTGATTATCTATCACAGATGCGCCAGCTATATACGACCGACACTCGTGCGCTGAGCTATGTCCTGCAACACGGTGAAAACTATCAGAAACCGGACTTTCGTAGGGAGGGTATTATCCATGGTGAAGGTGAGCCGATCTGCACTTCTGAACGTAGGATCATCGTTGAGGCCATGTCAGGCCTGTTGCGCGTCAGAGGAGACCAGCACAAGAACCAGAGGCGGATCATGGTGCGCAAACTCATCGATCCAGCTAGTACATCATTAGTTCACCTCGGCCTTTCAACCTCAGAACCCAGCTTTCGGCCCCATCCAGCTTCGCGACTTGACCCCTATCATAACGGACAAGGTTAACCTTGTAAGTCATGGCCTTTCTTCATGAAATTCATCAGTCAAACCTAGTGTCGCTCAGATGCGCGATCTTTGGCTCCGCGAGGTCCCCTCGAACGGCGAACCCATGGTGCTTGATGCCCTGAGCTGGCTCAGCAAAGCGACACTTGATATCATTGGCCTCGCCGGGTTCCACTACGCTTTCAACGCACTAAACCCTGAAAAGAAGCCGAACGAGCTTAATGCTGCGTTCAGTGCATTTTTCAACGACACCGGGCTCAAATTCACCTCAGTTAATGGGATTCTGAGAGGACTATTTCCCATCATGGATAAGGTCTTCGTAAGTCTTCTTTCGCGTTAGGAGTGGGTATATGCGCGATTAAAACGTACCGACTGGTTTTTGTGGCAGCCTGACAAAGGAGTGGACAAGGTGATGAAAGCCCGTGCGACTATGGCACGCATTCAGGACGAACTCCTTGTGGAGAGCAAGGCGCAGTTTGCTGATGAACGGGAGAAGGACGGGGGCAAGAACAAGGCCCGAGATCTCTTGAGCTTGCTGGTTAAGGCGAACATGTCGCAAGACGGCGGGCGGCACTTAACCGACGCAGAACTAAGCGGACGTGAGTCTATGAGCTTATTGTCGAAGATAATCGACGCTGACTTGCATTCATGACAGAGATTCCGACATTCTTAGTCGCCGGTCACGAGACAACGAGGTATGATCACATTTATTCGTTCGCCGCAATGTGACACTACTTGGGCTAACACTTTCTCAGCACAGCAACTGCATGGGCCCTTTTTTCTCTGACACAGCACCCTGTTGCTCAATCCAGGCTGCGTAACGAAGTTCTCACCCTCCCTACTGACACGCCTAGTATGGACGAGCTTAACTCGCTCCCGTACCTTGAAGCCGTCGTGCGTGAAGCGCTACGCCTGCACGCGCCTGTGCCGCTTTCGGTGCGTATCGCCCAGCAGGACGATGTCATCCCGCTCGGTACGCCTTTCGTGGATATCAATGGGATCAAACATGAAAGCATCAAGCCAGTCCCTTTTTCTTATCCTGTTACAAACGCACGCTAACATGAGTGCAAATCAGGATCTCGAAAGGCGACGTCATCAGCATCCCGATCATGTTCACAAACCGTGCCCCTGCTATCTGGGGCGTAGACGCGGACAAGTTCAGGCCCGAGAGGTGGATCGACGGGGCCGTGCCCGAGGGCGCACACAGTATCCCCGGTATCTGGGGCAACCAGATGACATTCATGGGTGGTCCGCATGCGTGTATTGGGTTCAGATTTTCGCTTCTTGAGTGCGTATTCCCTCTTTCCTCCCTATGTGATTAGATAACTGATGGTGTTGCCTGCAGGATAAAGGCGCTGCTATTCGTACTTCTCCGCTCCTTTGTTTTCGAGCTTGGAGTTCCGGCGGAGGACATAGTTGCGAAGCAGTCGGTCGTGCGACGTCCGGTCGTTGGATCGCAGTGGGAGAAGGGAGCTCAATTGCCTGTGGCAGTGCGCCGCTACGAGCCTACAGAGGGCAGAATTTAGACATAGTAAATAATGTCTGTCAAGCTCGTCTCAGGCTGCGCTTGACGCTACTCCTGTACATTATTTATTTCGAAGTAGGATTGCTGTCCTTGACTTCCCTTTTGCTCGGCTGATTTCAGAGTTTGGAAAATAGATTACTACAGCCTAATATGAAGTCGTGAGCTTGGGAAAATATCAATCGCAACGGTCAACGCAGACCGAGTGCTCGATTGTCGTTCTGAAGTCCAGAACAGTTGTGTTCAGCTTGGTCCCCGTTGCCAGTCGGCTCTGCTCGTCGGGATCGTCATCGTTGCGACAGTATTTTATACCGATATCCGTGACATCCTGAATCCTTAGTGGGAGAATATGACGAGGCATTGCCAGTGAAAATGACGACAGAGTCCTTGAGCGCTGAGAAAAAAAAACCAGAAAGGAAAGGCTTGTTGAAGTGGAGGGAGGACCGTGAAGAACCACCGACGAGGTTACCCGATCACGTGGTGTTAATTTTGCATCTGCCTGCCACTTAGGAGTTCCCGCTACTTCACCTCGCTGTTGCTACACTGATCCTCGTTATGGCGCATATAAGCACCTCCCACTCCTGTCAAAGTCCAAATATCATACCAATTCGCCCTCGTACTTCCCATTGACGCTGTCTACACGCTTGAACCACTAGAATGGTTCAGTCTCCGGTCACTCGCATCATGCTGACGGCTGTCACCTCCGTCTTCGTCTACTATGCCCTCAAGTTCCTTCGTTTTCAATATCGCAAACTCACATCGCCATTGCGTCACATTCCTGGTCCTAAGGCAACACATTGGATGATGGGCAACTTAGAAGTGCTTAGCAAGGTACGTCGTCAGCTCAATCTTCGCTTTGGGACTCAGTACTGAGCTTGAAGTAGGACACTCAATCAACACAGAGGAAGTGGATAGCTGAATTGTGAGAGGATTTATCACTATTAACTGGTTACTCTCGAATCTGACAGATCTCTTTAGTGGGTCAACGTTCACGTTCTTCGGCCCACTCAACGTACGCGTTCTGTTTATGTATGTGTCTGCCGCCAACGTGCCCACGCTGACCGTCATCATTTAAAAAGGTACGCAGCCTTTTCACGATCGACACTCGCGCTCTCAGCTATGTGCTTCAACACGGCGAAATATACCAGAAGCCGGAGTCTCGTAGAGAGGGTATCATCCACGGACAAGGTGAGCATACTATTTGAGAACGTCAACATGAATGCTGATATAGAGACAGGTCTCTTGCGTGTTCGGGGAGAGCAGCACAAGAATCAGCGGCGAATTATGGTGAGCCCCATGCGCCCACCGCCTTCCGCGGGACATTGACATGGCTTCCAACAGAACCCTGCGTTCGGGCCCCTCCAGCTGCGCGAACTCACACCCATCATCTTTGACAAGGTTAACCTGGTGAGCCATGGCATACTCTTGCGATACGGCGCAGTCGCTGATGCATCACCGGCGTTTCTCAGATGCGCGATCTCTGGCTCCGTGAAGTGCCCGCGGACGGCAAGCCTGTGACGCTCAACGCGCTGAGTTGGCTCAGTAAAGCAGCACTCGACATCATCGGCCTTGCGGGGTTCCATTACCGGTTCAACTCACTGAACCCCGAAGGAAAACCGAACGAGCTTAACTCTGCGTTTAGCGCAGTCTTCACCGCGTCCGGATCGTTCGCTTCTGTAAATTCGTTTGTTCGGGGAATGCTCCCCATTCTGGATGCTGTGTTCGTGAGTGCAACCATCGAAGAATGTGTGCGTATGTGCTAATGTCGGTGGGTGTCGATAGCCTGATAAACGCAGACTAAAGGTGATGGAAGCACGCAAGAATATGGCGCGCATCGGGGGCAAGTTGCTCGCGGAGAGCAAGGCACAGTTCAGCGACAACGAGAAGAGTGAGGACAAGAGCAAAGCCAGAGATCTATTGAGTCTGCTAGTGAAGGCAAATATGTCGCAGGACGGCGGGCGGCATCTTACTGATGACGAGCTCAGTGGACGTGCGTACTTCCACTAACGAAAACTTTACTTTGCTAACATGTCTATAATAGAAATTCCGACATTCCTGGTTGCAGGTCACGAAACCACCAGCACCGCAACAGCGTGGGCACTTTTCTCCCTCACACAGCACCCCGCTGTGCAATCCAAGCTGCGCGATGAGTGCCTCACAATTTCAATCGACACGCCAACGATGGACGAGATCAATGCCCTACCTTACCTTGAGGCTGTCGTCCGCGAGGTGCTGCGCGTGCACGCGCCCGTACCGCTCACGTTCCGTAGCGTCACGAAGGATGACGTCATTCCGCTTGGAACGCCGTTCGTGGATGTCAATGGGTTGAGACATGAGAGTATCAAGTGCGTTTCCTTTACCCTTCTTCCCTTCAAACCCGACACTGAGCACGGTAATGTGAGCAGAGTAGCGAAAGGAGACATGGTCGCGATCCCGATCATGTCCACAAATCACTCAGCTACGATCTGGGGCGAGGATGCGGAGACGTTCGACCCCGAACGTTGGCTCGAAGGCAACACGCCCGAGGGCGCCCATGGGATCCCTGGTGTGTGGGGGAACCAGATGACGTTCATGGGCGGGCCACATGCGTGCATTGGCTTCAGATTTTCGCTTCTGGAGTAAGCATTATCCTGTTTCCTTCGGCAATTATGGATAATTGATCGTAGCATTGCATATGCAGGATGAAGGCTTTGCTCTTCTCTCTACTCCGTTCGTTCACATTCGAGCTGGCTGTTCCCTCTGGGGATATTGTGCCGAAGCAGACGATTGTGCGCCGGCCGACTGTTGCATCGCAGCCCGAGAAAGGCGCACAGCTGCCCGTGGTAGTCCGCCGCTACGAGGCATAAGGTGGCTCGTATTCTGAGATACAGTTACTTTTCGTCTCTTCTATCTAACTCGACTCTTAGTTTATGTTTTCTCTCTCTTGTCGCCTTCATTCGCCACATTATACTGTTTCGTACTCCCTTCCCTCATAGATCATCGACAGGGGCAGGGAGCGGCCCCTCCTTTGACTGGTAATTTTAGGTACCCTTGGTAAATAAGATTGTGATTCTAGTTGACCAGGAACAGAATAAGACTGATCAAGAGTAGTTACAATTTTGTTAGATACTGATTCAATGATCGACGCGCGATATTATCCGGGCAGAAGCGTCCCGCATTTGTGTGGCTGTGCTACCTCAAAATTCCGCTCTCATTCCATGCCTCCGTCGTCTGATGTCCTAGCTCCCCGGTCTTCCTCTTTGCTGTATAACCCATACAATCACAAACCGAGCTTGTCATTAGCGACGAAGTGGGTCCCACCGGCACACCTATATCCGTGTGTCTGCTTGATCCACCTGTATCCCATCTGGCAAACACCCATTTCCTCCAGCTTCGCTTGCACCTGCGCCTCCTTCATGCGTTCTTTTTCATCCTGCAGCCTCTGAGAAGCCATGGCTTTGTCGCGCTGAAGCTGCTTCCAGTCTGCATCCGATACGCCGTCATCGCGTTGCTCGCCCTGATCTTGAGGAGCGTTTGGCGGTGGTCCTGGGTTCTGTCGTTGGTTCGGCTCCTGACGCTGCGTCTCCGCAGTCGTAGTTTGAGCCAACGGAAGGGTACGAGATGGCAGTGGTGCATAGGCGGTCTGCATCGGAGGACCAGATGGTCCAGACGAGCCCGGGCCAGAGAAAGACCCTGCTACGTTTCGGACACGATCGGCCTGCTCTTTTATCCTCGTCGTTATGATGTCGAGTACTTCGTTCATCGAGAGCGTAAGCTCTACGTCCTCATTGCCTTGGTCAGGAGAGCCACATTCCCAAGCGCGATTGATTATCTGTCGGGCAAGGGTTTTTACATCCCGCGCATTCCCCCATGATGGCCAAGATGTCATCGTACGAAGTGCTCTTTCCACCATGACATGTATGGTCGACATCGGGTCGCACAAACTAGGCACATCTACCTTCTCGTTCCGCAGCTCCTGGATGAGCAAGGAGATGCATTGTGCGGGTGTCATGGTGTGGAAAGTGATTTGCTTGGGGAAGCGACTCGACAAGCCAGGGTTGGTCTGAAGCAGTTTGTTGATCTCCGCGTCGTATCCAGCAAGAATGACGATCAGCTTTCCAGCGAAAGTCTCCTTCGTCAATAGAGCGACCATCTCGTCTATGGCTTCTTTGGCGTAGGAGCCTTCCACCAAACGATAGGCCTCGTCAATGAAGAGCACCTTTCCAAGTGCCTTCTCGAAGACGCCTCGAGTTTTGGGACCTGTCCTGCCTACGTACTCTCCAATGAGGTCAGAGGCAGAACATTCAATCACGTCCGACGAGGAGAGGAAGCCCATGTCATAATAGACCTGCCCCATCTTGCGGGCTGTGGTTGTCTTGCCAGTGCCTAGAGTGTCGTGATTATCAGCGGTTGCAACTAACCGATTTGACAGTAAACACTCATACCTGGAGGACCTTTGAAAACGAAGTTCGTTGGGATGCTTTTTCGCATATCCCTCCCGTTCTCCTTCATTCTCTTTGCAATTCGCTGGTAGCCACCTAACTTCTTGACGACTTCCTCGCAGCCAACCACGTCTTCAAATAGTTTCGCCAGCTTTTCTGTCGCGTGTTCGTCTCGGTTGAAGTCAGGGTCGAAGTCGAGTGGCTCAAAGGCCACGTCAGCGGCCAGGTAGGGTATACGCTTTTGGTATCGCTCTTTTGCCTTTCCCAGGATGTTTTCGACTTCGCCAGCGTTGCCAAAATGAAGCCGGTTTCGGGCACGGCTGAGCAGATTGATGGCCACGTCCTTTGCTTTCTCGGTAGCGCCGAGATCGTGACTCCTCAGCTTCATCTCAAGGATTTCGCGCAGCTGCGCGTCATCGAAGTCTTCAAAAACGAATGCATTCTCAATGTCGAACCTTCTTGATAATCCGGGATTGACGTTCTACCATACGCAAGAATTTCAAGATTCTTGGTAATGCATCAAGTGTAAGATAATCTTACCTGAAACATCTCGACAATCTGGTCTTTATAGCCAAGTAAGAGGACACATCGGTCCTCCCCAGGTACACTTTGAACTTCGGCGACAATGGTGTCAATAACGGCCGTTTTGTACGAGTCCCCTCCGCTCGAGCTACTCCCCCCACCGTACAGCATGTACGCCTATGGAACAACAGAAGCCTAAACATCGAGCGAGGAAATGAATTACAGCGGACATACCTCGTCTATGACAAGAACCTTGCCAACCGTCGCTCTAAGGATTGCTTTGGTATTGTTCTCAGAATGACCGAGAGCGGAGCCCACGAAGTCAGCAGGATTCTTGACAATCACTAGTAAAATAAAAATGAAGCACTGATTCACTAAGAAAGGTGAGCGAACTACTTGCCTTCTCCATTGCTCAGAAGTCGAAGCTGAGCCAGAATCTGACCGTACAGAACGGCTACCGTGGTTTTGCCTGTCCCAGGAGATCCGACAAAGACGCGATTGAGAGAAATGTGTAGCGGTTCTTTCTCACTGAGCTCCCGTAAATAGTTGGCCGTGATGAGATCGAGCAGGCTCTTCACAGAGTCTTTGACGGACTGTAGTCCTGTCATGGCCTGGAGCTTCTTCCACGCTTCGCTCTCGACGATTGCCCTTGATGGCTCTGGGCCAATCAAGTCCTCTTTAGTCATCCAAAAGTCGTTGGGCCAGCAACCTTCGCGTCGTTCTTTACTGATCCGCTGAGCTTGAAATTCGCCCATCCTCGAGAACATGTTTTGTAGAGCGCGAGCGTTGCCGAATCCCTCGCGCCCACGACCTCGACCAAGCCGTCGGATTGCAATGCGAACATATAGACCATGCAGCCCATCTTCGATAAACATTTGGCCCTTGTACTTTTTCTCGACCAGGTCGCCGAACATGGCAAGGAGCTCACTGTCGGTGTAGTCGACAAACTGGATCCGGTACGGAAAACGACTTGGGAGTCCTGGGTTGTGCTCGAAGAACCTCTCCATTGGTTTGTTGTATCCGGCTAGAATGAACACGATTGTCCCCACTTTGTTCTCGATCTCCGCAAGAAGGAAGTCAAGAACTTGCGCTCCTTGGAAGTTGTGCTCGCTCGCGAGTTGGTAGGCTTCGTCAACAAATATCGCACCCCCCTCCTCTTCTTCGATAAGATCTTCAATCATTGACTTGGCACCAGATACACCGCCGTTGGCGAGACGTGATCCAGTCGTCTCAACAAACCCCTCACCAGGAAGGATCTCCATGGACGCCAAAAATTTCGCGTACAGGCGAGCTACAGATGTTTTGCCTTCATCATTCTATTTAGTACCGTGTTGAACATCGGGACAATCATAAACTTACCTGTCCCTGGATTACCGAGAAGAACCAGATTAAGACGCTCTTTTCCTGTGTCCACCTTTTGACGCTTCATGACATTTATCTTGTCCATAATCCTAAGAAACTGCCATTTGACTTCTTCAAGCCCCGTCATCTCCATAAGTTCGTCGATAGCATTGTTGCCGAGTCCTTCTAAGTCTTTACGACGTTGCCACTCTTGTCGTGCAGCGGATAACGCCGGTTTCAACATTCCATTTCCAGTGTGTGATGAAGCGTCATCTTGAGGGATATCTACTAAAGACGTTCCAGACGCTGGATGTACACTGTGGTGTGATGAAGCCGACGGTGTCTGTGAGAGTTGAGGTCTAGCTTGGAACTGTGGTACTAGACTTCGGTCGACGGCGGCAATGGGCGCATTTCGATGCATGGCAGCGATAGTTTCTTGAATGTCTCTTTTCCGCTCATCTATTGCCGAACGTCTCTGCTGGGATTCTAGCTTGTCACGTTGCGCCTCCCTCATGATTCTGAGCTGACGTTCCATATCGGCAAGCTCCGCGTCGGACTTCTCTTTCTCAGTGTCGCGATGCTTTTGACGTTCGTAGTTTTCTTCGGCCTGGGCCCTATTGTGTTCCTTTTCTGCATCGCACCAACGACATATTGGAGACTTTCCTTCGCTACATACCCAATGGAGAATGTGACGATCAGCGGAGCACCGACCGTCCATTAAGCGACTGCAGGGCATTTTCGAGTGATCAACCAAGTGATGACACCTTAGAGGGCAAGGGTGATCGCATTCAAGTTCCTCGTCGCTGAGATGTTAAATAAATCAGCAACGCAGGTAACATATAGGACCTGAGACGTACCACGGCTCGGCACAACCACCTTCGGGACAGTGAATGTCAAAGTCAGATGGTGTAACTAATACTCGGCAATGCCTCATATGTTCCTCGCATTCAACGGGGAATCCGTCGTAAATATATCCTTTGTTCTGCAGCGAGCTGACGAATCTAGCCCAGAGCACTCCTTCTTTTTTAGAGCGCATAAGTGTTTCGGCGTCACCTAAGAAGATAAGTCCGTCTTTGGCTCGTGATAGTAAGACGTTCAGGTATCCTGGGGTGGGTTCAACTTCACTTTCGAAGCTGCATCCCGATAAACTGGCAATGACTATCTTACTCTCTTCACCATTGAATCCACCTGATAAAAAGTCTGAGAATTTATTGGCCTCCGAGTTTAGTTTGTACATACCAATCGTGGCAGTTCGTAGAGGTTTCTTATTTAGTCTCGCAGCGGAGACGCTCCGTAGTCCCGCTCTAACGAGATCATGTGAGTCCAGATCGTTTAGGACTGGATCAGTCTCCGCCTGAAGTGCCTCACGAATCGTACGGAGCTGTCCAGGGTATACCGTGAGCAGTACCATGTCGTCAGTACCATGTCCCTGCTGCGCCATATACTTGACGATCTTGATGATCATCTTGACCTCGTAAGTGTAATCTACCGACGCAAGCGAAGACATGATCTCGCTGTCATCGTTAGAGGAACTTTTGAACTTGGCGCAATTGATGAATATAATGTTCTGCTGAATGCCGGTCACGTTGTGTCGAGCCTGTGTCTCTGGTGCATTGTCGATTTCGGGGTAGGTAAGCTCGCGGACAAGGCAAGCAATATCACGATTCATCCGGTACTGGGTTTGAAGCGATTGACAAGGAAGACCCTTGCGTATAAGTCGCTCGAAGAGAGTGCAATCGAGGTCATACCCTGCACCGCTCTCTACCTTTAAAATGGGGTTGTTCACGTTTGGACGAGGTTGCCTGGGTAAAAGTTAACCTCTAGCGCACGTGAAGGTTTGCGTTGATTGTTAGACTTACTTATAGTCGCCAATAAGAATAAGATGGCGGGCTGTAGAGCCGAGCGCTGCGAGAACATCTCCTTCCAGTATTTCACCTGCACCCTCAACGAGTAGCACATCTGGAGATACCGTGAGAAGATTCTCGGAAAACTTGGCAGCTCCAGCTATGGTACATCCGATGATGCGCTTCCTACTCAACATCATATTATCGCAGAAGTTGTTCATTCGATCCATCTGGACTAGCCATTCGTCGTAGGCTAGTCCATCCAATCTCAATCTAGCGGCTTCTTCCTCTAGCGTCTCCGCGATCAGTTCGCAGGAACCTGCGTCACTGGCAAGCGCGAGAAAACGGCAGAATCTTTGTTCGAGATCGTGAGCCTGCTCGTCGGATTTCCTCTTGAGCTCGCCAGCCGTATTCCAGCATGCATTTTTGAGATGCTCCCTCTCGTAATCCTGCGAATATAGACCGGGGTTCTGACTCTCGATGGGCTCACTGAGGCGCACAATCTGTTCAGAAGAGATCCCGATTTTAAGAAAGCCTTGCAAAGTCTGGTGTAAAGCTTGGTCGGTATTGCAAAGGACAAGTATCTTTTGAGGCGTGTGCTCATGGATTATTTTTGCAACTAGACGGCACACAAGCGACTTTCCTGTACCTGCCGTGAAATGATATCGAGTTACAGACATGATGGCGGAAGTGATGAACGCGGCTCGTACCTGGGGGACCGTGGACGAGCGCGACTCTCCGCGTGAGACAGGTCACTAATGCTACTGCTTGATCCCGGTCCAACCGGAGAGAAAATGGTATATTTAGAAGGTGCTTCAAGTCTTGACCCGAGTCTGCGTTAATCCTATCGGCAATCCACCACGCGTACATGCTAGGCATACCGACGGAATCGTATTTCCTCCAGAATAGAAGCTCCTCCGAAAGTGGAACCTGCTGCATACCTTGTAGCGCCTTCAAAACTGGCTCGAAGGCAAAAAAAGGAGTATCGCAAAAGAAGATGTCGACGGAGCGAGCAGAGCGAAGAGCGACAAGGGTTTTCTCGACTGAAGAGTTGTCCACAAGTCGGAGGACGACCTCTGGCGGGGTTCGTGCGAGAAGCTCCTCGTCGCGATGGACCTCCGCCAGAGATATGAGACGCCCGTCGGACACGATGCGAGCGAGGGATTGGTGTTTTACAATACTGTTCCCAATATCGGCTTCTTTGAGAGAACTTGGAAATACATATCAGCATATATATACGTGTGAGGTTATGAATACTCTTACTTGCACTGAAACACAAGCGCCCAACGTGATCGACGGTCGGGGCTACCTGTGAATGCACCTACAAGCTGACCGGAAGTGACTATGGAACGCCGGTCGCTGGCGCGTTCGCACATCTGATGGATGAGGTTCTCCCTGTTGAGGCGAAAAAGTGTTTCAAGGTGACGTGTGTGCGCGGTTGACCAAGCCTCCGTATTATCTAGATCTGCGTGATGGGGGAGAAACGGCGCCTGTGTACATTGGACTTCTTGTAACGTAGGAATGATGGATATCCGACGAAAGTCGGCGAAGTCGTTGTCGTGCCTGTCACCAGGAACTGGCTTGTTAGCTGAGTGCGTGCCCACGCTGTATGCCATCAACACTTCCTGAATCCTCTGAGCAATAGACTTGACGGTCGCAACACTGGAATTGGAAAGACGTTCGACGACGTTGGTGTCTCTTGACCAGCGGCGGTGGTTTTCTGCTTGTTCATTGGACATGGCAACTAAATGAAGCAACAGCTGGGCGAACCCAATCTCAGCTGAGTTTGAAAGGGTCCTTTCTTCAAGCGCTTGTCCGAGCGAGAACCAGAAGCTCGGAGGGTCGACGATCCTGTCAACGATTGTACTCAGAACGTCTCCGCCTCCGATAAGCTTCAGCGTGGGATTCTGAAAAAGATACTCGAGAAAAGCAGTGGCAGGGCCGTTAAGAAATTGGAGGGAAGAATCGAAGCTGAAAGCGGACTGAATATGATCGAGAGCGTGGGCACTGGAAACGAGTTTGTTGGCGCACACGACTGGGTCGGGTTGGGTGCATATTGCTTCGAGATATTGGCGGGAGTTGTTTATGGTTATCCTCTCTTTTCCCGCCAACACGGCATAGAAGAGCTTGTCGCGGTTCTCCATGAGCGAGGAGAGGAGTGAGGATTTTGGTTGAGGCCTAGGACGGGGACGATGGAGCTGGATTCAAATATGGGCGCAAAGTCCTGTGCAGTACCGGATCTTAGATCAGGACCTCGGCAGATTTACTGAAGACCCGAAGCTAATCGATATCGATGGAGCCTGCACGATCTTTAAAGAGAGGAAGAGCCGTTTGTGCGAGCTATCATTGTAGAGCAGGCGGTGCATGATTAAATCCTCGCGATGTGGCTGTTAGCCGTTTATCGATCGAGAAGGAGGCTAAACATGCTGCATCCATTCTCCAACGGCCAAAATTATGCTCACAGGATGTCTTCATTCCGTTTTCACTTCATATTAACTTCTAGCGCCGGGAGCATATGGGCGCCAATCTATCTCTTTACACAAGGGATCCTTGCCCTGTAGTTGATATTTTGCCTCATCCACGTCGTCTAGGTCTGCAAGAGTTAGTGAATAATCTCTGAAGAAGCTGCTCGAGTTGCGTGCTGAGATTAGATGCCTTGGAAGATGATAGCTAGATGATAGCAGCTCTCGCTGCACGACGCGCTAAATAAAGAGCACGCATTCATGAGATCGTGATCGGCGGATCTGGAGGGTATCTGCGGCCTCACAGGAAGGTGAATTATCATAAGATCCAAAGGGGCCGTGTCTACACGGGCGAGAGCCACACCTGCTCCTTTGGAAAGGCATTAAGACCTCAGTGAACGAGTAAGCTCCTCACCGCGGCTGTGTTACTTATGAAGTGTTGCTTTTCGACACGAAATCTGGCTAAGGGTTTGGGTCCTGGACCAGTGATGTGCACCTATGCTGTTCTGAAAGCAAAGCAACTCCTCAACCACGTTCCTTCATGGCAACTTCGTATAGCTAAATCTTTACGGGACACACTGCCATGAAGCTTATTGAGGACAGACCTTGCGCTAAAGTCGTGGTGGGTGGAGTTCATTAGCGCCCATCAGGAAAAAAATGCATTTGTCAGTTCCGTACAGGAATCCTAAATAGCCGCTCCGGACACACGTAAATTAGAGAAGAATCCGCGGGAATGCGAAATCATGCCGTTGTGCGGTATACGTGCACTTGATTGGGAGGCTACAGAAATTCAAGGGATGCCGAGCAACAAACGATGAGTGGGCAAGTCACTACTTTGGAACTCTCTCTGTATCATACCCAACAGTGCTCGTCTTTCAGCTTTAGTCCGTATGCCGTCTGATATCATGATATAGGTGCGTGTCGGGTTACACGTATTGCACGTCTACACTTGTTCTTGCTCTCGAGCTCCTCGGCATCAGATCCAGCTGCGTTATTATCCAATACAGCTCTCGGCCCGGTCTTCCGCACTAGCTTTGGTCAACTTGTGCATGCCTTCCGGCGCCAGTGATACCAAGCTTAAGAGCGTCACCTTCATCACTTGCTGCACTCAAGGCGTTGTCTAAGCTCGTCGCCTACATCCCACATACAACAGTTTCCAGCTTCGTGTCCCAATCACCGACCTACTCGTAAAGCGCGGAGCACCTCACACTCGTAAGTCACCCACTGAGTACTGAGGTGCCAAAGGAAGAGAGGGTAACGAAGCGACGGGAAGCGACGGGAAGCAAGGTTGAAAATCGAGAAGGATGGTGCGTGTAAGTCCCTCCTTGATAATATAGATTCGGAGGTTCATTGCGTAGGACCGATCAAACGCGTAAGGTCGATAGCTATTAGCAACGAGAGCTGAACGTTCAACCTGCGCATACTCTATTTCCCATCATAAAGCAAGCTCTGTATGAGCTATCAATACAGAGCGCTCTCGTCGTGATCGCCCGCTCCCGGGCCACATAAAGCAAGGCATCGTTGTCTGTTGTTGGCCACCCCTGTTCATGGGTACGAACTCACCTAGAGTCTAGCCCAGCCTAGCCCTATTCGCCGCCTCGACGCTTCAAGCAGGCAGTACTACCTGTTGGATTGGGACATATAGAACAACAGGTGCGTAGTATCCACTATTAGCTTTGCGTTTAGTGACCCTTTGATTAGTAACTCTGTCTCCGTATTACATGTAATATATAGTCAACCAGGCGCGAATACAGCGCCCAAGCGCTCCTTACGTCGCTGCCTTCAACTCGTTCTATGGCCACGGAATTCAACAAGATCATATGTCTGTTATCTCACTAATCACATCCCGAGTTGCTCGTTGGAAATGTAGTGGCTCCCGCCAGCACATCTGTATCCCTGTGCCTGTTTGATCCACTGGAAGCCAGCAACGCAAACCCCCATCTGACGCAGCTTTGCCTGTGCCTGAGCCTCCCGCTTGCGCTCTCGTGCCTCCTCGTCCATTCTCTTCTTAATCTCAGCGGCGATTCTATCCTTCTCTGCTCTCGCCTCCAACTCTTTTATACGCGCCTCCTCCAACCTACGCTTACGGTCGTCATCCTCCGCCTTGTTCTTCGCTTGAATCTTGGCGAGACGAGACATCTCCACTGTGAGCTTCTGGATGCGCGCGTCGGTCTCGCGGTACTGGTTTTGCGTCTTCTGGATATCTTCAGCCGCGCGCTTTTGAGCCTCTGCGATGCGTTCTTTGTCGAGCTGAAGCTGTTTCCAGATTGCGTCCGGGACGCCGGGATCGCGCTGCTCGGTTTCAGGCTCCTTGGGCTCTTGTTTCTTTTGCTGCTTCGGTTTGGGAGGCGCTTTCTTGATGGTTGTCGTTGTCTGCGTCTTCGGAGGGGCAAGAGAGGGAGGCTGAGGAGAGCCGACCTGCACTGGCGGAGGCAGCATCGACGAGACTGGGGGTGGCTGCCTCAGGTTTCTAACACGATCGACCTGCTCGCTTAACATCTCCCTCACGATGGGGAGCGCTTCCTCTTCAGGAAGGACGAAGTCTACGCCGGCATTGTCGTCGACAGATGAGCCGCTGATGTAAGCTCGCTGGATCATCTTCTTCGCAAGCGTCTTCACGTCCCGCGCATTCCCCCACGACGGTAGCTCAGATAGTGTCTGGAGAACGCGCTCCATCTCTGCGTATACGTGTGACTCGGGATCGTCTAGGTCAGGAACTTCAATCTTCGCCTTTTGTAAGTCCTGGAGTAGCAAGGAGAGGCACTGGGCGGTGGTCATGTTCTTGAACACGATTTGATCAGGGAAACGGCTCGAAAGCCCGGGGTTGACGCTAAGCAGTCCGTTGATCTCGGCGTCGTAGCCCGCAAGGACTACGACTAGCTTGCCGGCAAAGGACTCCTGTGTGAGAATGCCAACAAGCTCGTCCATCGCTTCCTTCGCGAAGTGGCCCTCGGCCAGGCGATAAGCCTCGTCAATGAAAAGGACTTTCCCGAGCGCCTTCTCGAACACGCCGCGAGTCTTGGGGCCGGTTTGTCCAACGTACTGGCCCACGAGGTCGGAAGCAGAGCACTCGACTAGCTCGGTGGATGAGAGGAAGCCCATGTCGTAGTAGACCTGACCGATCTTACGAGCGGTCGTTGTCTTGCCGGTGCCTTGAAGGATTTACGTTAGCACTTGCTGTGATTGATAAAGAAAATTATACGCGTACCTGGAGGCCCTTTGAAGACAAAGTTAGTCGGAATATTCTTGCGCATGTCAATCCCTTTGTCTTTCATCCTCTTCGCAATCCGCTGGTAATTGCCCAGCTTCTCGACGATCTCCTCGCAGCCAATGACATCCTCGAACAGCTTCGCGAGATTGTCGGAAGCGTGCTCGTCGCGGTCAAACCCGGGATCGAAATCCTGAGGCTCAAAAACGACGTCGGCAGCGGGGGACTGAAAGCGCTTCTGATAACGCTCCTTTGCCTTTCCGAGGATGTTTTCGACCTCGCCAGCATTGCCGAAGTTCGGCCGATTGCGAGCACGGCTGAGAAGGGATATAGCTGCATCCTTTGCCTTTTCTATCGCGTCAAGATCTTGGTTCTTCAGTTTTAGTTCGAGGATTTTACGTAGTTGTGCATCGTCGAAGTTCTCGAAGTTGAAGGCGTTCTCAACGTCGAACCTTCGAGACAGCCCCGGGTTGACATTCTGTTTTCAAGATGTCAAAAAACGGACAGAAGCTTGAAGCAAAGCTAGTTACCTGAAACATCTCGATAATTTGATCCTTATATCCGAGTAAGAGTACGCATCGATCCTCTCCAGGGACATTTTGGACTTCCGCGACGATAGTATCGATGACGGATGTCTTGTACGGGTCGCTGACGCCAGATGACTTCCCTCCGTATAGCATATACGCCTGTTAGATCACAATATATCAGCTGCTGCAGTTAAGGACGACACGTCGCATAAATACCTCATCGATGACAAGGACTTTGCCAACGGTGGAGGCAAGTATGGCTTTGGTGTTTTTCTCCGACTGGCCGAGCGCCGAGCCGATAAAATCGGCAGGATTCTTGACGACAACTACAAACTACGGTTGAGCACGATGTCGAAGAAAAAATAGAGCAGTAGGTTACCTTCACCATTGCTCAGCAATCGGAGCTGGGATAGTATTTGACCGTAGAGGTTGGCAACAGTCGTTTTGCCCGTGCCTGGCGAGCCGATGAAAACGCGATTGAGCGAGAGCTGGAGTGGCTCCTTCTCGTTAAGCTCTCGGTAGTAGTTCGTCGTAATCATATCGAGGAGGCTCTTCACGGAGGCCTTGACGGACTGCAGACCAATCATGTCCTGTAACTTCTTCCAAGGTTTGCTCTGAACAATCGCTTTGGAAGGCTCGGGACCGATGAGATCTTCCTTGACCATGAGGAAGTCGTCAGGAAGTTTGCCCTCGCGTCGTTCTTGGCTAAGCCGTTCCGCTTGGAACTCGCATATCTTCGAGAACATGTTTTGCAGCGCACGAGCGTTACCGAAGCCCTCACGTCCGCGCCCTCGGCCGAGTCGCCGAATCGTGACCCGTGCGTATAACCCATGAAGTCCGCCCTCTATCTTCATTCGTCTCTTGTACTTCTTCTCTACAAGGTCGCCGAACATGGCGAGGAGCTCGCCGTCCTCGTAATCCGCGAAATGTAGCTGGTAGGGAACGCGACTGGGGAGACCAGGGTTGTGCTCGAAGAACTTCTCCATCTGCTTGTTGTAGCCGGCGAGGATGAAGACGATGGTACCGACTTGGTTCTCCATCTCGGCGAGGAGAAAGTCTAGAACCTGCGAGCCCCCGAAATTGTGCTCCCCGGCGAGCTGATAGGCCTCATCGATGAACACAGCACCTCCTCCCGCTTTGACGATGTCCTCAAGCATTTTCTTGGCGCCAGGAACGCCATCGTTGGCGAGCCGTGATCCCGTCGTCTCGGTGAACTCTCGACCAGGAAGAACCTGGATCGACTGCAAGAACTTCGCATATAGACGCGCTACTGTTGTTTTGCCTGTGGCGATACCATCAGCGCCTATATAACGGTGCCACCGTGTGCGGAAACGTACCCGTTCCTGGATTCCCAAGGAGGACCAAGTTCAGACGCTCCTTTGTTGCGTCGGTTCCCTGGCGCTTCATCACGTCGATCTTGTCCAATATCCGGAGAATCTGCGCCTTTATGCCTTCAAGGCCCGTCATCTCCATAATGCTGTCGATGGCGTCGTTGCTGGCACCGTCCATGTCTTTGCGGCGCTGCCATTCTTCGCGAGAAGGAGAGCGTGCAGCCTTCAACGAATCGCTGGTGGTGGTAGACGGAGCAGCCTCCTCAGAGACATTACTAGAGCCGGGCAAACCGGAGCTCGAGGGAGTCTGAGAAGGCACTTGAGGAGCAGACGTATGCGGAGTGGCTGAAGGCGCAGTCGAAGAGGGTCTTATCGAATCCAGTTGAGATGAAAGGTGAGCCTGCCGGTGCTTGAGGCTGGCGCGCATATCCTCCAGATCTTTCTTCTTCTGCTTAAGCGCCCACTCCCGTTTTTCCGCCTCCAAAGCCTCGCGCTGCGCCTCCTGCTCCGCCTTGATCTGACGCTCGATCTCAGCGAGTTCCTTGTCATGTCTCTGCTGCTCTGCGTCGTGCTTTTGCTGGCGCTCGTAGTCCTCCCGCGTCTGCGCCTCGGCACGTTCCTTGTCTTTGTCGCATCGACGACAGCTCGGTGGCTGGCCCTCGCTGCACTTCCACTGGAGCGTGTGCCGAGTGGCGGCACATTTGGTGTAGACAAGGTGACTGCAAGCCATCTTCGAGTGGTCCGACAGCTGGTGGCACTTCGAGGGACAGAGATGGAGTCCACAATTGAGCATAGTGCCGCTGAGGAGGTAGATGAGCAACGGGATCGTCATCATGAGATTGCACCATACCAATCCTCCGTGCACCCTCCATCGGGACAATGCCGCTCGAAGTCCAGCGGTCCGGCTAGTATTCGTTGACGGCCAGGGTGCTGCTCGCACTTGACAGGGAAGCCGTCGTAGATAAAACCTCGGGTCGTCAATATCGTGACCAGCCTCGTCCAAAGTTCCCCTCCCTTTCGAGAATGCATGAAGGTGTTGGCATTTCCGATGATGAATAGCCCGTCCCTCGCTCGAGAAAGTAGCACGTTAAGACGTTCAGGCGAGATCATGAACCCGATGTCGTTTTCGGCGTTGCTCCGCGTTAGGCTGATTATGACAAGCGAACTCTCTTCTCCCTGATAGTTATCTGTATAGGTAACGTGAGCGAATACAACGGGTTTTGTACGAGCAGCGTACCAATAGTGGCGAGGCGAAGTTGCTTGTTGCTCAGCTTTGCTGCGGAAGGAGATAATAGACCAGCTTTGACGAGGTCGTACGAATCCAGGTCATTCAAGACCGGATCGGTCTCCGACTTGAGCACCGCACGAAGCTTGTGAAGCTGACCAAGGTAAGGCGTGAGCACAACCATCTTGTCCGTGCCGTACCCCTGCTGCGCCAGATACTTGACAATTTTGAGGACCATCCCCACTTCGTGCGTGTTCTGCTTTGATGACGTAGACGATAGGTCTCTCCGGTCGACAGCTTCGCGAAAGTCATCCTCGTGCTTGTCGTGGTTGATGAAAACAACGTTGCTCTGGACGCCGCGCACATGAGCGCGGTTTTGAGTACCAGGCGCGTCAGTAAGCTCCGGATAGGTGAGCTGGCGGACAAGATCAGAGACCTCGGGGCGCATGCGGTGCTGCGCCGTGAGAGTGTGATGCGGGAAACCCTTGAGAACGAGGCGCTCGAAGAGTGAGCGGTTCAGATCGTAGCCCTCATCCTTCTCGACGGTTAGACGGTAATTGTTCACTTTCGGCCGAAGTTGTCTGAAATTTGACCGATCATCAGCTATAAATACGAACCGTGGTTGGTAATGTGCTTACTTATGATCGCCAATCAGGATAAGGTGCTTGGTCGTCGAACCGAGCGCTGCAAGGATGTGGCTTTCCAAGATCTCGCCGGCCTCCTCGACAAGTAAGACATCCGGGCAGACAGCCCGAAGGTCCTCCGAGAACTTCGCCGCACCCGTCGTAGTGCATCCGATGATTCTCTTGCTACGGAGCGTCGCAATATCGCCGTCGCTGTTCTTTCGGGCAAGCTCTGCAATACACTTATCGTAGTCTTTCCCGTTCGATGCGATCCCAGAGACAGAGTCGTGGAGGATCTCTGTCCTCCACTTCTCGATGCACTGGCGACGCAGCTGGAGCGGAAGCGACCAGATCTCTGCAGCTTCGCGAACGTGCGGCGCATCTTTGAGGACACCGGCATCCCAGCCACGCGTCCACTGGTTGATCAGGTACGTGGAATCCATCACGCGTCCTTTCTTCCCGACGCGGGTCATACCGTCGTTCGAAGCCGGCACCTCAAATGCGGCAAAGTACTCGGGGTAGTCGAATTCGATGTGCATGAGAATCTCCTGATAACCGGGATTGACGCTCTGGAACTGGTGGAATTTGCGCTCGAGTTCGCCGCACAAATCCTCCGACTGCATCTTCAGCTCATTGATGATGGTCCAATCAGCCCGCGTGCGCTTGGCGGTGACACGCTTTTGAGAAAAGAGTGTAAGGTGTTGGAGATTTTGGTCCGAAACACGCCCGCCGAGGCGGACCATGCTCTCCGAGGGGATGCCGATATCGATGAGGTCCTGCAAAAACTGGTCTAGCGCGTGGTTGGTGTAGCAGACAACAAGAATCGTCTGAGTCGTGGTGTCGTGAATGATTTTGGCAAGCAGCGCCCCGATGAACGACTTTCCGGTCCCTGTAGGTGCACGATGTCAGTCACCAACCGTAATCCTCGATACGCGGATCAACGTACCTGGCGGACCCTGTATGAGCGCGACACGCTGGGTAAGACCAGCGACCAAAGAAGCCGCCTGAGCCGTATCCAGTTGAATGGACTTCGGCGTTTGCAGGAGACGCCTCAAGTCCTGGGATGGATTCACTTCCACCGCATCTGCGATCCGCTCCGCGTACACGGCCGGGCTCACCATAGGGTCGTCGTCCTTCCAGAAAACGAGCTCCTCCGAGAGGGGAACCTCCTGTATGCGCTGCAGCGCCTTCAGAATAGGCTCGGAAGCGAAGAAGGCGGTGTCGACGGAGAGGATTTGAACGCTCTCGGCGAGCCGGAGGCTGATGAGCGTCTGCACGATTGTGGCCTCTCCCTCGAGCTGGAGTGTGATTTCGGGCGGCTTCTTAGCGAGACGCTCCTCGTCGCGATGGACAGTCGCGAGCGAGACAAGCTGTCCGCCAACGATAATGCACGCGAGCGACTGGTGGCGAAGGATCTTGCTGCCGACGTGATCATCTTTGAGGAAGCTACGACGGTCTTTGTCGGGGACCTTATGGAACTGCTGGAAGTCATGATCGGCTTTGAGCACAATTGCCCAGCGGAGCCGCCGGAGAGGGTCGCCGGTGAAGACGTCGATCAGATGAGCTGAAGTGGTGAACGCACGGCGCTTGCGCTGTTTGACCCCTGTAGCTATACTTAGTTCTTCGCGCACGTCATAGATAAGATCCTCGCGATTGAGCCGGAACTGGTTATCGATGTAGTTCGCGAGTCGGGTGGAGACGGTTTCTGGGATCTCGAGCTCTGCGCTCCTGCGGAGGAAGGGGTCCTTCTGACACGCGATCTCCTGCGGGGTAGGGAGGATGGTTATCTTGCGGAAGTCTGCGAAGTCGTTGTCGTGCCGACCACCCGGTCCCTCTTCGTAGTCCTCCGGTACGTCTGTGTCGTACGTGGAGAGGATATGGCGGATTTTGTGGGAGATAAACTTGACGTCCTGCACGGTTGACGCGCTGAGCCGCCCGAGGATATCGGGCTCCTTGGCTAGATCGCGATAGCTCGCTGCCTGGTCACCCGATGTGGTTATCAGGTGGAGAAGCAGCTGAGCGAACCCGATCTCAGCGTTCTCTGCAAGGAGCCCAAGCTTGAACGAGTGAGCGAGGGAAGACCAGAAGAGCGGGCTTTCGAGAAGTTTGCTGACGACCTTGTTGAGGACGTCGCCCCCACTGAGCTGCTTCAGCGCGGGGTCACCAAAAAGGTACGTAAGCAGGGCCGCTCCGGATTCGTTGAGAAACTGATGGGTAACGTTGAAGGACATGGAGGCTTTCATGTTTTCGAGTGCCAGGGGGTTGGAAACGAGTTTACCGAGGCATACGGCGGGGTCGGGTTGGGCGCAGACGGCCTCGAGAAACTGGCGAGAGGTGTTAGGGGTCACTTTAGCTTTCCCGAATACCGTCTGATTGAAAAACTTGTTGAGTCTTTCTCTTCTATCCATCGTGGTAGAAGAGTGTGTAGTCGGCTAGTATAGCGTCGAGTCCGAAGCTCTGTGAAGGGGGGAGGGAAGGACTGCGCGAAGTCTCGTACAGCGACGAGCTCTCAAGCGCCCAAGCACGGGTGCTGTAGAACCTAATCGAACTTTCGAGGGTCCCTATCCTAGGGCCCATGCTGTGCATCGTTCAATGGAAATCGAAGGTCCCCTAACCTAGGAAACACGCTGCTTGAAAACAGCGGCGTTCTCTTATCTCGTCGAATCACGGCTGTTTACAGGTTCAGCCACGCCAAACTTAGCTTACCGAAAGACGAGGCGCCCACAGACCCTGAGATCGAGACGACGAACCAAGTACCTTTCGGGTCTCTAACCTGCGCGCTGGTCCCTCAACGTCAACCGCCCACTCAAGACCTCGCCTGAAACCGTACGATTGTGCGTCCCTCCAGATGTTGAGTATCGCCTACACGCGGCAGGGCTATGAATATGGATGATCATCAACCTTCCATGTAGAGCTCGCGACGCACCATGAGAATGAAACTACCCGTTTCGACGACGCAAGACTTCTAGAGCCAGAAATAAGTTTGGTTTAGACGCTTTGAATGCAAGGGCATGCCAACGTGCACTGTCGCCGCGAACGACTCGGATGAGTGAGACGAGCACCGGAGGCTAGCACTTGTTGAGTCAAGAATAAACGTGAAATATTCATCATTTGTACCACTGCAGACAAACTGCAATTTTTAATGTTATAAAAAGTGATTGAAGAAGCGAGACAGATGAAAGCCTTTTTCACCCATCTTTTGCTCTGCGAAAAGTGACTGAAAAGTTAAACATTTGGCTCGGAGTTTGTATTTGTGAGCTGAGAAGGGATATAAATGCATCTAAATCAGGAAAGTGGATACCAAATGTGGTAATCCGTACATTTTACCAGCGCAAAACTGACGCAAACGTCGACTAAAGTAATACCTTTTCCTGTGCAAAATAGGGCCCCAAAACTCAGAGGAAAAGGCTTTCATCTCGCCGCCTCTTTCTCTTGATTTCATCCCAGGTAAAATCGCTCTTTGTCTGCAGTGTACACAAGCAATGTGTTATCGGAGAACACCGGCGGACCTTAAAAATATGTGGACCGACAGCTGAGAACATTCCCCAGGCTCCTACGCAGCCGCACTGCAGACATTCTGTGATTTTTCTGTTGGGTAAAGTGGTTGAAGAAGGCGGACAGATGAAAGCCTTTTTCACCCATCTTTTGCTGTGCGAAAAGTTACTGAAAAGTTAAACTTTTGCCTCGGAGTTTGCATTTCTGTGCGGAGATTAGATAGAAACACGTCCAAATCGGGAAGGTAGAGTCCAAATTCGGTAACCCGTCCATTTTACTATCGCAGAATTGACGCAAATGTCGGCTAAAAGGATACCTTTTCCTTTGCAAAAGGGGGTTCCAAAACTCGGAGGAAAAGGCTTTCATCTCGCCGCCTCTTTCTCTTGGTTTCACCCCGGATAAAATCGCTGTTTGTCTGCAGTGCCGTCACTGAGAGGAGAGTAGCTTATCCTAGGGCGCGGTAGACTCAGCAGAATCCGCGACAAGTCTTTCAAGTAGCGATTGAAACTCAAGCCGTAGCTATTAATCGCCGATTGAAAACTTTGAACCTTAAGCTTCTCGTCCTCTCAGTGACGGCTGCAAGAAAACAATTTGAAATTCAGGGTCGGATGGTGTTCCGAGCGGAATGACCCGTCGCTTAAGAGTGGACTTCGAAAAAAAAGCTACACATCCCTGTTCTAATAAATAGGCGAGTATTTAATAGAGTAAATGAGGTTTTAATTGCATATCACGATCAAGACAAACCTTGGGGGAATGTTTCGACGCAAGAAACCTTACCAGAACCTTGAAGGGACCTAGTCGTGAGATGCCGCGGGACCTTGCAGCATATACTAAGGGCGCAATCCTGCGGGAGCCTTGGCATAACCTCGACACAAGGTTGTTGAGTCAACAGCCTTTCAACAAGGTTTCAAGATAATAGGGGCACCCATTCTTGAGACTAGAGAAACACTATTTCGCATTTAAACCTGGTTCCTAGGTGACAGTAGAAAGCCTGAGGTACGAAGAATAGCTACAAGAACACCCAGGATTGATACTAAATATGCAACAAGAGCTGCTAGCCTGGTGCATGGAATTTGTGTTCAGATACTAAACACGAAATTTCACTTAAGTCCGACTTTGCTATTCATAAACTTGACATCGCACCTCTTGTTCGCGGCAACATTGTGTAGTGGTTTTGGCACTAGATCTTTTTCGGGTGGTCTTGGGTTCGACCCTTGCCTGGGTTTATTTTTTTGCCCAAGCGCGTGTCCTCGCTGGGTTCCTTATCCGGGAAGATCTTGCCCTTAGTATATCTGACGACGTTGCGGCAAGGTCCAGGCAACCTTTGGACTCAGAACCTCCCTCCAAGGCTTAACTCGATTGACGGGTGTACTCGAATTTCCCTGCGCAGATTTCTCGAGCGCAGCCGCGCACTAAACTGATTTTCAAACTCAGATTCTTTTGGGACTTAGCCGGACTTAGCCGACCGTACAGCCACTAGTCACGTGAAGGTTTTCTTGCAGCCGTCCTGGGGCAGATAGGTCATACGGAGGGGTTCGCGAGCCGGAGGCGAGCAGAGAAGCTCCCGAGGGGTTCAGCCTCCGGGAGGCCCAAAAATGGCAAGGGGCCGGCGATTTAGGAGCTGTCACGTGACACGGTCTGGCTCGCTTGGCGGAGAGACTTAGGTGCTTCGGAGGCGACCATCCAAGTATGGTAATAAACCTACTTGACCGATTATGACCGAATGGACCGAATGGACCGAAATTAGGTGGACCCCTCCGTATGGCGTAGCTGCTCGTCCTGGAGAGTGTGAGGCCAACAAGGTTGCTGAGATTGAAAATGTTCGGGTAAATAACGTAGGGCCACGCGCGCGCAGCAAAAGCCCGCTACCTAGACATTGATGCAATTATTTTAATTTGCTGCAATAGTCCGAGCGTACCCTGTAGAATTGCGAGTGTATAATATACAGCCATTATAGACAGGTATAGAGTAGGGTATGTAATACTACGTCGCACCCGAGCCCCGTATCACAGAGCATTCTTCTTTGCAGGGGAAGGAGAAGGGGAGTCAGCCTTTTGTTTGCCCTTAAGTCTTAGATGATGATCTGATACTCATCAACACATTGGTAAGAGCAGGGCTGGGAGTTCTTTTAGTGGGCGTTGAGGGGAACCTAACGAGTGAAAGTACCTCACGGATCTCAATTGGCCCACCGCATTAATATTCGGACAGCACCTTGATTTCCAGGAGAGGCAAGGACTCTATCAGTCGAGATATCAACATTGAAAATACTGGAAGGGCCAAAGAACAATTGTTGGATCTCTGACTTACATCACCTATACTGATAGCAATGAGAGTGGGACCAACAAGATCCATAGAACCAGTACAGCATTGGTTAATATCCACATTGTCACGGGAACTTGACAACAAATTAGGTGCTTGCATTGAGTGAGAATTGTCCGCATGGACATGGGCATGGATAACACATCCGCATGGATAGGCATATATAGTCTATGAACATCGCAAACAACTGAGGAAAAGGAAGTCATTGGTTGATGATATGGAAATTAGAACGCCAGCACGGTGAGGGGGCGAAACGGGGGAAGAGTAGCGACCGCGCTGATTCAGTATCGGGATCCCAAATATGCCTAAAGAAGGAAAATGCGCGCGCGGAAAGCGAAGCGGGGGTCAAAATATCACGTGATCTCGCTTGAGCTGATTTTTGGCAGAGATCCCTAGTACACGAGTTGCGCTGAGACCCACTACCTAAGGTAGCGGGAATCCGTAAGGGTCATGTACCTCAGATTCCGCTAAGTCCCTCCGCACTAGCAATTGCCTCACTAAACTCGGAATGACGGCTGTGTAGGAGCCTGAACATTCCCTTCAACGCTTGTGCGAGACTCAGTACTCAGTACTCAGACCTCACATCTCAGATCTCAAAGCTTACCATCGGCCCGCATACACCCCACGACGCCACGAGTCAAAAGATAATCAGATACACATATACACCGCTAGCGTTCTTCCACGGATGGGTACAAAACAGAGATCTAGACTACAGCGAAGTCTGATATGAAAACAGTCGTAAACTATACATACACGCAAAAAAGCAAAAAGAAAAAGCAGAAAACAAAATCCGATCCAGAGCATTTCCGTTGCGATGAAACATTGATAATACAACCAGAGCGAGGACAGGTATCTCCCCCGAATCCACCTCTATCTCTCCTCCAGAACTTACATACGCCATGCGTCGCCCCCGCGATTCATTTAGCTGTGCTCCAGCCGAACGGCGAACGGGAGCGCCAGGTCAATGGGAAACTAGAGATCACCCCGCTTCCAGTCGACAGCGCGCTTGAGCTGCTCGAGCGTGAGGAAGATGAGGATCGTCGTCGGCTGGAGACGTGTCCACGCGGGCAGCCAGCCCTTGAACATGAACATCGCGCCCTCGTTCGCGAGCGACTGTTTGATCACGCCGATGGTTGACTGCAGTAGACGAAACGGAAGTACACGTCATTAGCTCGGGTTTTAGAATATTTGGGGGAGAGAGAAAAGGATGAGACGTACGCTCGATCCCGGCCCAGAGGCGTTCATTATACGGCTCTGATTATGCGCACGATGTGTCAGTAATTTTCAGTGCGAGAAATTAAGATCATGGATGCACCTTCAACACATCAGCAGGCGAGCACACCGTCGTCGCGATCGTACCGGCCGCGAGCGACGCTGTGAAGTGACATGCCATGTTGTCGCTGAAATACGGTGTCTTTAGAAGTTCCGACTTGAAGAAGTCGTACCTATATGCGCAGGTTACATGGCGTTAGCTCAGGCAATGTGGGTAAAAGAAGGGAAGGAGGCGTACGACGCGAGTTGACTAGAGTTCATGAGCACGCTACGGAAGACGTTCGGGCCGACACCGCGCGCGAGCGACGAGGGGCCTTCCTCACGGACCATCTAAGCAGTGGATCAGCAACCATATCATCAAACAGCGCAATCATGAGTGAAAGAAAGGTAGGCTTCGGTCCGCATGAAAGCGTAGCTGAAAAAGACAGGGGCTAAAACATTGCAAATCGACAACTCGACCATGTCTCGCTTCAGCTATGCGCCGTAAGTCAAGCCGCAAAGCCGTCCCGCAAAACCACCAGCGCGGTCACATACCCACAGCGGCGATAACCAAACGACAGCGCAAGTATGCGGGGGATAGACGCTCTATCGCCGAACGGAGGAGTATAAAGGGCGGATAGGGATTCACCCCGCGCGTTCCCTTGTCCTCCGCATTTCGGTTATCTATCTCCCTCTCTGGGCTCCCTCAAAGCGAATATGAAACGAAGCAACCACAAAGACCGGGACGTCCTCCGCCGCGAAGACACATGATAATGAAGATCAAGAGGATCAACGTTAACGTTTGGCTTACCCGGAACAACGCATCGAGGCAGTGCTTGTAGTTGAAGCGCTTTTCTGGCGGTTTGGCAAAGTCGCCTTGCAAGCGGACCTTGATTATTGACGCGCAGTTTACGTTGCAGGTGAGACATTATGCATGTTCCAAAAGCCGCCCGTGTAGTCGTGCGATGGTGTGGAGCCATGTTCGCAGGGATGGCCGCCGTGTACCACGCATACATCCACCAATCGGACGCGTCCCATGAAAATCGCGTATACGATCCAGAGGAGCATCAGGGGTGGGATCGAGCGTGTGCCGACGCGCACCGCGGGCCGCAGATGGGAGCCAAAGCAGAGAACAGAGGAGCATCGCGTCAGGGCACGGGTGGGAGAGGAGAAGCTTGGAGTGGACGCACCATGACGACCTCTGCACACGCGGCGGCCAGGAGAGGGAAGAAGAATGAAGTATGAGCTGTTTAGGCAGACAGAGGATGGAGTGGGACGGTCGGCGCACGTACCTCCTGGGTTACCAACTACGCCCGCGATCGAACCAGCTGCGGATGCGTACGCGTCAGCACTGTGCCCACCTACTTACCCATCCAGGCCGCACGAGGGGCGCTACTAGCACCCACCCATCATGCCCGCAGCCGGCAGCTTCCACGGCGCGCTGTCTGGCTGGTTGGCGCCGATCATCTTCTTGCTCTCGTCGTACGCCCAGAAGCGACAGAGGGAGTAGCTCATCTGGCGGAGCCACGTGCCGGAGATGCCGTCGAATAGGCCGCGTGCGCCCGCGGTGCGCACGGTCTTCTTGATGCTCTCGAGCATGCGCTTGTCGCCTGATGCTTGGAGGCGGACCTTTGTCAGATCGAGCGGGTGCGTGATCGAGGCGGCGATCGTTGCGGCGACACCGCCGAGGTAGAACGGATAGGGCTGCTTCTTCTTCACTGGTGGAGGCATTGGGGAGAGCTTGGGATCTTGTGGGACCTGGGTGGGCACGACGGTTGGCTGTGTTCCAGACATGGTGGTGGATGTCAATGGGGTTGGGGTGAAGGAACAAGACAAAAGGGAGTCGGTGGGGGGAATCGTGTGCGCTGGGGGACCGGGCGGCCCTGCTGTATAAGCTGGACCTATAATAGCAAGTTCATTGCTCTATTAGACCCCAGAGCGGAGGGGCGAGAAGACATCACCTGAACCACAAACGAAGGCGGGGAAGCCCAGATAGGGGCGTTATGTCATAAGCACCCCATGTCCTCGTGACGCAATGTGTGCTCCCGGCTCCTCCCGACGCATCTCTTCCTCTCCCATCTGCCCAATCTGCATTTGCTTCACGCTATTCCTGGTGGCGTCGAAACACACAGCTTCTATTCAATTGGTACTTTGGGACTCGCGTAGCTATCGATGAACAAAAGCTCCAGTCCACGCTGCCTTGCATCTGAAAACCCATCTGCTTGCTCAATACAGTTCACCGGAACTAACGGCCCCGTTAGCTTAGCTTGAGGCTCCAGGGCCAGGCACTTCTGCTCCTTTACATATATGCTGCCTCCTCACGGTGCTGTGCAGCTAAACTATAGTAAGCCTAGGTTGAAGACCAACACTATACAGCGTAGCACTTTACCGCGTCCTCTCTGGACTTGATTTCACGGAGTATCTTGGACTCTCGCCGGAGAACATCCCAAAGCATCCTACTCTTGGTCACTTGCAAGAAGCACTCATATAACTCTGGCTTCTCGGACTTTATCCCCACTGATCGCTAGCGCTGGCCTCGATGGAACCATGAATCGGCACTACTGGCAGGTGACATCGTTTTTGCATTCATTCGTCACACGAGCTGTATCTTTGATGGTGATTTGCTTGGATGCCACAACGAGGGCCTTCTGTCAAAGGATGCATATTATCTTATAGATGTTCGTGTAATCTCGGAATGAACATGACGATGTATCACCACTAGACGCCACTAGTTTCGGCGGCTATCTACTTGACGATCCATTTCGAAGAGTATGGGCACCCATGTCTCCGAATCTCTCCGAAACCACTCATGCGAATCGCCCTTTGTTCTGATCCACTACCGGTGGGTATACTCATTACAAAGGCCCAGTAACTACCAAATACACATGTCCAAAACGCAACGGAAACCCGTCCGCCCGTCCGCATCCACTTATCAATACCGTTATCAATACATATCACCCCCAACCCAATCACCGGCACCTAGCCCGGCTCTCAACGACCCACGTATCAACCAAAAACGCTTCCTGGCGGAACGCCGCGACCGCCTCAGCATCCCCGTCCCAGTCGGGGCGCCACTCGCCGTCCCATGCGCGCCAGGCGCGCACCTCGACCTCCCTCGCGATCTCGCGTAACGCGTCGCCGCACCCCGCATGGGCGGGTGGAAACGCGCCGAGCAGCGCGCGGTGCGTGAGGAGCGTATCAAGGTACGCGCCGTTCGTCGTCGCCAGCCCTTTCCCTTTCCCTTCTTCCTGCGCGTGCGTGCGCGCTTCGCCCTGCGGGCGGGCAGGGTAGGGCTCGACGGCGGGGTACGCAGGGGCGGGCGCGAGGGAAGCGAGGGTGGACTGGAGGAACGGGCATGGAGCCGGGCCTGCCGGACGCGGCGCGACGATGGAGGACGAGGGCAGCGCCTCCTGCGCCGGCGGCGATGTAGGCTGGGGAATGGGCTGCGAGGACGACCCGTAGGCGGAGCTTGAGCTCGAGCGCGCTGATGCCTCCGAGGTATCGGAGAGGTAGCCCCCCGCCGGGTCGTCCGACGGGGGCATGCGAGCGTTTGCGCCGCTCGGGGCGGTGGTGATCCCGTGTGGAGGTGCGTCCCCGGCCTGGTCCTGATCGTGTCGGGCGAACGCAGAAAGCCGCGCTTGAGGATCCTTGCTCCAGAGTGTATCAGTATTTGTGCTCGCAGATAGGAAGATAGGAGGAGGGATGGAGGGGAGGATGCTCACCTTGGATCGCTCGAGCGACATGGCAGTCAGCAGAGAGCAGAGGTCGACATCGGAGCCGAAGGGCTAGACGGCAGCGTCAGATCGAGAGGTGATGGCAGGAGAGAGAGGGAACGTACGATCATGCGCCCCACGTCCTCGTAGTTGTGCGTGTGGGGAACGACCAGCGGCCCAGCAATGGGAGAAACGTCCATGTCGTAGTCCATGCTTGCGTTTACGTGTGCAGGTTTGTTCGAGAAGTACCGTCAAAGACGAAGATATAAGACGTTCAAGAAGATCGCAAAGTCTTGATCAGTAGATCAGTGAGAGCAAGATGGGTGGCGATGACGATGAGACGGATGTGTATGATGGGTGTAATGTAGTAAGACACTCCCCAGATCGGCCAAGGGGCTTAAGTACCAACAAGATCGAAGGCAAAGGGTCAGAAAAGCCTCCATCGCCGCAGCGCGGCAGAGGGCCGCACCGAGGGCATGCCGCTGCCTCGTGCCAACGTTGCGCCTGCTTGCCTAGGACATGACGCGGACGCGTGTCGATTCAGTGATACCACGTTTCGACCCGTCCGGTGCGGCTTTTGAAGCCCTCAGAGAGTTGTGCCCTCTGCCATATCCCCCGTCTCTTGATTGAAGCTGTGTTGGGGCGGTCGAGCGCAGATGGGAGGCAGAATTCAAGGGTGTGAAGTTCGGTGGACCTGTGATGAGTGAGGCCGTGGGGCTAAGGGCGATGCGACTCATTGTGTGCATGTGTTGATGGGTACTCTTCTTTGCTGACGTATGTGCGTTCTTAGTCCTGATCCAAGCCTAGATTGATGCGAAAAGAATTCGGAGGTGAAGATAAGTTGGCTGTGCGTGAATTCGCAGATGCGCAATATTACTGCGCTTTGCAATAAAACGCGGAATCGCGCGCGTTGTCCAGGTCGGACCCCAGAAGCGACGTGTTATTCTCACGCTCGTGGAGATGCTCGCTCGCACTGCTCACACGCGACGCGTGTCGCGTGTTGGGGAACTCAAGAAAGTCAACAGCGCTAATACTATTTTACGGGGTCTCTCCGGGAAGTTCCGACACGCGGCTTCATCCAAAGTTGCGATTCCGCGTTTTATTGCAAAGCGCAGTAACTCACAGCGGGAATAGCCCGATAAGTTCTCGGGACTTATGGTGGAAATATTGAAGACGTATTTTAACTTTGTTTTGCAGGAAAAGCGAGACTTATTTGGTACTTAGCGGGGAGATATTCTGATCAAAATATCTTTTGTAACCAAATTGGCCGTGTCAAGTGTAAATCGCCAAACTTTATTTAAAATGCGTCCCTGGTAAGTTCCAAAATAAGTCTCGCTGTCCTGGCAAAATTTTATTAAACTGTATCCACAATATTTCCACAATAAACTCTGAGAACTTATTGGGCTACTCCCCCTGTGAACTGTGTCACTACCACCTTTCTCCCGCGCCAGAGGTAGCCGACGACTCGCCGCTCCTCCGGACCGAAAGAGTGGATGGCTCGGAGCGAATTCTGATAAGCACTCTTACCTTGCATGGTTATGGCGAGTTTTCAAGACCGAACGTTCTAAAAATATGATGTACTACTATACCTTGTGCGATTATCGATTCAGTAGCACAAGTGGCAAGCCTGCAAGCCTGAAGTCATAATTCTAAATAGGTCTTTTAAACGGCTACTGAGCTGCTGCTGGGTTATATCAATATTTACACCCACCACTTAGTGCAAGACAGGGTCGCTCTAATCTGCGTACTATACCTGGGGAGTTATACACTGGGCATCTACCCAGGGGGTTTTATTCAGAGGTCGGGTTACACTCGGATGCGGTGTTTGCCACTAAGATCTGCATCCTGAGACCCTGTATTTGTTCTGGAGGAAGAGGCTTTAGCAAACATTGTTCTCTTTGACGACCAATTATTACACATCATGAGGATTCAGATCTCAGATAAGTAGCCCATGCACCGATATTCATCAAGCCTGCGAGTGATTTATCAGGCTACATTCAAAGAAAACACTTGAGAGATCTAGAGTGAAACTATTTCCTACATTGTGAATGGCTTAGCTGATGCATTCCATTGCGGCTCACGATTTCAGCCCCATTGATCAATGATCTTCCACTATTTCGACATTAATGTTCCATCAGATTCTAGGAATCAGTGAAATTCGCGAATTTGTCAGGTCCTCTGCAAGTGGCAGGTGCAGATCTTATTGTGAGTTCTTCCACATCAATTTCAAACTCTTAGCAAACTCTGCAAGTCAACGAGCCACTTATCTCCCAGTTGCTCGCCAAAAAGAGGATCCGCCTCTCCAAGAATACTTTGTTTTCTCATAGTACCATATGCACACTGGCCTGTGACATCGCGGATCGGTGGCCCCCGTCCGCTATTAGGCAAGGCGACTCTCGCGTAACAGGATGTCGACATGCCGAGGACTGGGAACCGAATTGCACCTTCATTGTGACGGCCTGCGTATATATACCCCCGTCTCACTGTTATCTTGGCCTCTAAATTGTCTTTGTCTGATATGCCTTTTGTCTCCAACTCCCCAGAGTGGTTCTCGACAGCCCAAGGACTGTGGGTTTACGATCTCGCAGGATGTATGGCTGTCTCTGACCCGTTGTTAAAGTCACTGATTTACCTCTTCGTTAGTCGCAGCTGCAGCAGCCGTATGCTACGACTATGGTGAGCATCTACCAATTTCCCTGCAGTCTAGGCGTTCACCGCCTCGTGACCTCTGGTAGTCCTCCTCCTTGGACAAGAAGTGAGGTTATAAACTATGCCTTTTTGACGAATTTTAAACGTTGGTATCTTCATCAATTGATAGGTAGACCTTGTTTGGGTACGCGCTCTTTTTTACATCATTCAAGGGCCATTTTTACCCACTAAAATTCGTAGAGAAAGCCGTGGTCACTTGTGTCGACTCTATATATCGTGGTACGAAGACAGAAACATGTGCCATTCCTCGTACATCTCATTCAGTCGGTTTGAAGGTTCGATATCTAGGGCTGGCAACTACTGCGTGAGAATCATCTGTTCGCGCGAGATACTCTTGAATCATTAATTAGTTGCCTTGACTCTCACCTACTAGTACATCCTTTGGTATGTGTTCCCCGTCGTGCATCACCACGGGTTGACATACCGCACAACCAGTAATCGCGAGCAACCAAACTATCATGTCTGATCATGTGAGGATATTCCAACACCTCAAAGTCTGATCTGTCTCATCAAGAAGTCGCCATACAGGCGTTCGTTGATGTTTTCATTGAAAATTCAGTTTACTCAATTACTCCGTAAATAATTTCGGCCGAACCAGATGTATGTGCAGTTGCCACCATGCATGGGAAGTCGTCATCGAGACTAAATCTCTATAACCCGAGGCAGGCCTTCAAGTGTTTATTGCCCAGAACTGGATGGAGTTCGTGTTTACGTTGGCTATGGACGGTACGGATGCCTCTGGCTTTTTGTGTGATATTTTATTGACTGACACTTCAAGCAATCATGATCCTACGCATTTATGCATTGTTTCATCGTTCAAAGAAAGTGCTCGTATTCCTGGTAGTATGTTTCCTGCTGTGCAATGTTGCAAGTGGCACTATACAGTACTATGTCATGGGACCTGGAAGCGGTATCGAAGGTATGATCCCAGACATTACTAAGGTGAACGAAGCTCAAAGCTATTGTTAGGATTAATCTTTATCCTGTTCAACACGAAAAATTGTCAGCTTAATTACAACGATATTCTGTACGGATACACCTCGGTCTCAGGTGTCATATTCGAGATCATCCTCCTTCTTTTCGTTGTGAAGTGTTTCTTCATGCATGTTAAGGAGCTGCGGGCACGATCGCATACTTGGGGAGCCTATGAATGTTTAGCACTGCTGATTAGGGATAACGTGTTGTACTTTGTCCTGTGAGTCGTCACTTCCAAGCTCTTGCCTTATGCAACCATGCTGAAACCACATGGCTTAGGTACGTGGTAGCAGGTGTGCTACGAACTGGTCTTCTCGCGAACTTCACCGTAAGCACAGGTCCAGAAGGCCTACTTCGATAGCTGACTCTTACCATATCTCAAATCCGTTGATTTCTAGAATGTCGAAGGAGGCTGGGTCTTCTCTTGCATCGAAACCATCATCATAACTTTGCAACAGTATCTTTTCTCGCCTCGCCTCGTCCTAGCTTATCGACAGTACCACGCTGATATTTCACGTCGTCATGAGCGTGGAGGTATCGAGTTGTCACAGATGAGCAATGGCACTAGGCTGAACACCATAGTATTTGAACCGGCATCCATAACCTCACGTACGGTGGGATCGGATGTATAGCCAGCTTTTACTCGCGTTTATTCTTAAAGCTACAAATGATAGACAGGCTAAGAGTTGAAGGAGAATAGTACATATGTTTTAATTTTACAGAGATTAATTTCGTAAACACAACAAGGGAAATTAAAGAATGTCAAGATATGGAGACTTTGTACAGTAGTAGATTCAGCTGTTAAAGCCAGGCGTTTGCAGAAACAATAAAACCATGGTTATATATATGACCTGCGAGGTTACCCGACCCAACCCTTCATCTGCTTTCCCTTGTCTCGCCGGAGGAAGTATGGCTCGGACGAGTCGTCTAAAGTTGACGTGTCATCGGCTCCACAAACTTTTATCTCTCAAGGGGATTCCAGCACAGCAGCAACATCACACCCATCTGGAAGCTGTTACACACTTGCAAGGTTGCTTGCTCGTACGATGGACTCGGACTTGTCATTCCCGAGCTCGGAAGTCTGTTTGTCGCCCTTCAAGACAACACGAGGATATTTATAGCGCCGAGAAAACAATCACAGCACCGCGACGAAGGAAAAAAGATCATTGACACTAAATATCCGGTTTCTCGTGTATGTAGCGCACCTAGAACATGTCCGCCGCTACCCTCGACGCCATCAGGCTCGAGCACCGGTATTCATGTCAAAGCCTTAGATTGACTCCTGGTAAACCCGCCATCTCTAGTCACATCAGACGCACAAGATGAAACAAGAGAGTACAGACGAGAAAATTAATCTATTTCACATGCAGCTAGAAACAAAACATAGATAGAGAACAGTTCTTCCGATCCGACTAGAGAGGAAGGAGAAAGCGGGCGGGCGGGGTCTACGGTGACTAGGTTGCGCGAGTGGGAATCCACATATAGCTATAGAGAGGGATAGAGACGAATAGGTATCTGTTGCAATCCAAAAATAACACAGAAGTTCGAAACGAAACGAAACGAAAGGTTGAAGTATTCAACATAATAATAAAAAAGATGGTCGTAGAGGTACAAATACAACAACAGCCTTTTCTGGGTTTCTAGTCCTTCTCGCACCGCCTACAGAGCCATCCCGCCGTTCCACGACATCGCGCTTTCTGGCCGCGGGTCCTCAGGTTCGGGCATCAGTCCCCGGTCACCCGAGTTTTGTCTTGATGGCGGATTCGAGTGCGAGTGCGGGGAGAGCTGCTGGAGAGGCTGGTGAGGCGGCGAGTGCATCGGCGACACGTGCGAGTGGTATGACGGCGCGAGACTGCTCCCGTCTCCCCACTGCTGTTGCTGTGGCTGCAGTTGATGTGGATATGGCTGGTGAGTCTGTGGTGGGTATGGCGATTGCTGTTGTGAATAGGTTTGCTGAGGCTGCAGCACCTGCTGCGGCAGTATCCGGGGCGATCCCGACGGTGAACCCGAAGGACTCGGCGAGAACGACGGGTAGGGCGACAACCCCCCATACGGCGAATGCCTGACCTGCATCTCGTATGACTCCTCCCTTGGCCTATGTCCTTGTCCCAAATTCGGTGCATCTCGATACCCAGGGCTCGTCGTCCTCGACTCTGGGTTTGGTGACACACTCGGCGAACGTGCCCCTGGACTTCTCAGCGGTACCCTGCTCCCAGTCACCTCTCCACTTGGATACTTGTAGAGCGCCGGGGGCACTGGACTTGGTGACGGGATCGCCGATGCGGAGTAATAAGATGGGTTAGGCGACGCAGGCGACACGTACCCTCTCCCTGAGCCAGGGCTGCCAGGAGAGAGCCCTGAGTGCGGCGTCATAGGTGGAGGTGCGAGGTGGTCATCTTCATCGTACATGCCCGCCGTACTCGGGACTGTGCTAGGCATCGCGGTTCGCTGTGGCTTGACGTAGTCGAGGCTATCAGTCGTTCGCGTGGGTTCGTACGCCTGCTGCAACGTTGCCTCCGAGGCCGAGCGCGCGTGCGGGCGTGAGAACATGGGCGCTTGCTCGAGGTCGGCACGAGTCTTGTTCTTGGACGCTTTGCGGTGGGCGATGCCGAGTTGGTCCTTGAGGTCGCCGCCCACCCATGCTTCTCGGACAATGTCCTTGTCCAGCGGCATGTACCCGGATACGACGAATTTGATGATGAAGCGAGGTGCTATGTCACGAAGGCAGCATTAACACACATAACAGGGGGTCAAAGATGCTCAATGGAATACATACCGAGGGCAACCAATGTCGAGAAAACCACTGTCGACCAAAACGTAACGTTGCTAAACAGATTCTGCACCTCGTCCACGAATGCGCCCGTCTCCGAGAAGAAGTTGTCCGGGGGCAAGAACGAATAAACAACGACCCAGACCATCATAACTAGCGACGAGCAGATGATGACGATCCAAGTAATAAACGTCCAGCTACCCCACATTCGTCAGGATCCACACCATCTCATATGGGACCCACAAAGAGGACTCACTAGTTCGTGTTCATCCCAACATAGCAATTCGCCGTAAGCACCGCCGTAATCGCCACCGTTGTTCCGAAGTCCGTCAGCGATTGGATGTCCCGCCCGTTCCACGAGACGGCACCAGGTCCGGTGCCGAGATCGAGCGTCCAGACGAGGTACGGGATGAAAAAGACGATCGCGGACTGGTACAGCCCGTCAAACATGTACATCCAGAACTTGGCACGCGTGTACTCGAGCCCGCGGATGCCGCGCACGTAGAGCTGTGGGAAGGCCAGCGCGGCTTTGGCGTTCACGTCTTGGTCAAAGGCTGGATGGTGACGAGGTTAGCATATGACGTGATGGGTAAAAGAGCGGTATAGATTGGACGAACCTCCGAGGACGATGACGGGTAAAGACGTGAAGAGAAGGTTATACAGAAGGATGAAGCTGTAGTCGTATAGATAGGTTGCGTCGAAGCTATGATGCATGATCAGCTTCTGCTCCGTAACAAAGAGAATGCAAAAGATACCCACTAGCAGAACGGAAGGAACCAGAACATCGCGAACGTCCACATAACAGTCTACACCCGCTCCATGAGCCCACATCCCATCGCACACATCCCGCCCTGAAGCGCAGTCAAAGAACTCACGCACCTTGTAAAAGAAATTAGTATGCAAATCCGCGATCCGCTGATAACTCCACCGCCCATGCACAAGCAACAGCCTCGTCAAGAACCTAAACTGGCCAAACGCATAATCCGCCGACATCGCCGCCTGCGAGCCCTCGTGCCCGAGCAGCCCGCACCCAACGTTGGCCTCCTGAATCATCGCGACGTCGTTCGCCCCGTCCCCGATGGACAGCGTCATCGCCTTGCGCCCCTCCTTCACGAGCTTCACCGTGAGCGCCTTCTGCGCGGGCGATACACGGCAGCACACTACGGTCTCGCACTGCGTGCCGAGCGCCAAAAAGAGTGGCTTGAGCGCCGGCTCCAAAGCGTACCGGAGGGTGTCGCCATCGATGACCGTCGCGAACGCGGCCTGTGCGCCGGGGACGAATCCGCGATGCTTGGCGTCGAACGACGGTGGGCCAAGCACGGACGCCATCTTGTTGAGGGCTGCCTCGATCTGCGCGCGCGCTGCGTCGGCGTTATCAGCGGAGAGGATCATGATCTCCATGTCGGGCTTGAGGAGGTTGCATGAGAAGCCAATTTCGATAGCCGTCTGGAGTTTATCACCTGCCGTTTGATCGTGAGCTCGTCAGTGTCGGCTTCACGATGCGCACGGGGGAAAAGGACAACAGAACGAAGTCAACGCACCGGTCAAAATCCACAGCTTGATTCCCGCCCTGTGCAACGTCTCAATCGCCTCTGGCACGCCCACCTGCAGCTTATCCTCCAGCGCCGTCGCGCCCAGAATATGCAGGTCCCTCTCAATAACCGCCGCCGCCTTCTCCATCTCCTCGTCCCTATTCTCCACCGCCGCCGCCGCCGCATCGTATGCCCTCGACCACGAGAGAAACTCCTCCTCGCCGAGCACCCTATACGCAATACACAGCGTCCTCAACCCTCCATTCGCAAACGCGTCCATATCCTTGCTCGTCTGCACCTTAAGCGCCTCGTCCGCGTCCGCCGCGAGCCGCTCGTAGATAACGCTGTCCGCGCCCTTGCAGTACAGCACAAGGCGTCCGTCCGGGCAGCGCACGACGACGCTCATCCGCTTGCGCGCGCTCGAGAACTCGAGCGTCTTCAAGTGCGTATAGCGTTCCGCCTGCCCCAGCACCTCGATGTCCAGCGCGTCCTTGCTCTTCCCCACGAACGGGAAGCCCACGTCCCGCGCGGCCGCGACGAGCGCCGCCTCGTCCGGGCTCTCCGCCTTGTACTCGAGCCTATTCGGCTCCTCCTTCGGCTCGGGCCGCTCCGCGAGCACACTGTGGCACAGCGCGAGCGCGCGGAAGAACGCGATGATCGCCTGGGCGCGGGCGCTGCTGCGGTCCGCGATGTCGTCCGCGAGCTGCGGCGCGACGAGCGTGAGCCTGTCGGGCTGCATGTACCGGTTCTTGAACGCCTTCCTGAGACCCGTCACCATCTCGTCCTTGAGCTGGACCAGCCGCCTCCCCATCTCCTCGGGGTCCATGCTCGGGTCGTTCGCGCGCCCCTGGCGCTGGGCGGCGCCGCGCTGCGCCTCGGTGACGCCCTCGCCGTAGACGGTGCCGGCGATGGAACACTTCTGGAACTCCATCACGTTCTGCGTGAGCGTGCCGGTCTTATCGGAGAAGATATACTCGATCTGGCCAAGGTCGTCCGAGATGCCCCAGTTCTTGGGCACGCACGCGGCGTCGAACTCGGACGAGTACATGTCCATGTCCTGCCCGATGAAATACGCCTGGATCGTCTTGACGATCTCGATCGAGATGAAGAGCGAGACGGGGACGATGTTCTGGAAGGCGATGAGGCAGGAGCTACATAGCGTGACCTCTGCGTCAACGATGGAAGGGAAGGGAAAGAGAAAGGATGGACGCACACAAACGTGACCAGCGCATTCAACACCGCCGAGTCCGTGGGATTTACCCCCTGCTCGTATATGTTGACACTCGTCGCTGTCGCGCCGTCCCAAACGCCATTGATGACCGCCGAGACCGTACACATAATGACCAGCAGGACAAAGTTGACGACGACATTGTAGTTCGTCTCCTTCTCGATCTTGCTCCGCTTGCTCGGCGTCAGCCCGCCGTTGAGGTATATCTTCGTGTCTGGGCCCGTGAAGACCACGAGGCCAATGATCCACGCCGTGTTGCGCACCGTGCACCCGCGCAGGAGAAGCTCGTTGATCGTCACACCTTCTTTCTTCTCGGCGCCGGTAGAGAGGTCCCGGTACCGCAAAACGCCGTTGTACAGGTAGAGATTCTGATGCGGCGGCTCCGAGTCCAAGACAAACGAGCACCGTTCGACATCCTCCTCGCTCTGCACGTCCTGCGTGGCTCTCAGTGCCTTCCTCGGCTTAAGATTCGTCTCCCCATCCAGGTTCTTCGTCTCCACGAAACACGTCCCGTCCGCGTCGCTGCAGCTGAGTACAACCACGTCGGCCGGGATCTGCTCGCCGTCGCGCAGCAGGACAACGTCGCCGACCTCGAGCTTCTTCCACAACGTGCGCTCCCACCGCGCCGAGCCGGATATGTGTTTCTTCCAGTCAAGCACGCCCATGCTCGACCGCGCCGCAACGCTCTGCGCGTATGCCGAAAGCGAAGGGTTATCGGCGCCCCACCGGCCGAGTTCGTCCGACGACATCGTAGTCGACATAGACCCGTCGGGCACATGCCCCTTGCCGTTCGCGGCTGCAGCAGCGGCAGCAGCAGCAGCAGCGACAACGGGCGGCGGATACGAATGCGAGTCCACGCTCTGAATGTCCTCCAAATGGCGCCCGCCCGGGCCGCGCACCCTCCCGTTCCCGTTCCCATCTCCGCGCCCGGGCGTCCCGTGATGCAAGCTCATCGAGCTGTCCGAGAAGCTCTCCGGCTCCTCGCTCACGGGCCCGCCCTCCCCCGCGCGGGTGAGCATCACGCGCGTCCCCGCCTCGCCTGCCTCCTTCTCGCGCAGCTTGCGCACGCCGCGGGTGACCTTGCCGGGCGCGTGGAGGCCGAGCGCGCGCTCGTACCACGGGCGCGGGTCGCGCGGCTGGTTCACGTTGCGCCAGTTGCCAAGGTGCGTGGCGGCGGACGTGTTGAGCTCCTCGTCGACCTGCGCGCGGCGGAAGTCTTCGAGGCCGTCTTTGATGCCTGTGACGACGATGATGAAGAGGAGGGGTAAGGCGGCTGTTTGTGGGGAGACGCTGCCGAAGATAGGGAAGACTGGGCGTGGAAAGGGTGAGCGGGATCTGTGAGTTTGATGGATGAGTGAGTGGGAACGCACGTTGGAAGATGATGAGTGCGAGGAAGTAGATGTTCGCAATGCTGTGGTTGTGGTCAAGGAAATGAGTTGCTGCCGCTGGGTTGCGCCAAGTGTAGGTGTGAGACGCACCGGCAGAATTGCTCGAGGAGGTTCTTGGGCACGAATGTGAGTAGTGTGTACCCTTCATACCACGCACAGCGTCAGCTCCACTTTGCCAAGCTCAAAACGAGAGAAAACGCAAGAACGAATAGAACAGAAGAAGAAACGTACGTGTCGTGCGCACTTTGTTGCGCGGATACTGCACGATCGGCTCGCCATGGCGATCGACCTCGTCCTGAGCGAGGGGCATATTCACGTAGACGTTCCTCCGCTGGCCGGCTATCTGCCCTGCTGCTGCCGCTGCTCCTGGCTCATCCGGCGGGGCCTTGGCATGATGTTTCTTCTCCTTGTCCTTGCGAAAGAAGAGAGAACGTTTCCGCCTGACGGATTTGCGTCTCTCCTGGCGCTGCTCGTAGCGGATGGACTCTGCGATGGTGCTGGCGGCTGTGCGGACCGTGCGGAGGCGGAGGGCGGGGTCGATGTTGGGGTCGTCATCGTGCTCGTGCTCGTGGTCAGTGTCAAAGTCAGTGTCGTCGTGAGGGGAGGGCATGGTCTGTGGTCGGGTACAGTACTAGTGGTTTGTGTTGACGTGGTGTCGTCGCGCGAGAATCTGTCGGCAAGGAGGGCAGGGGTGGGGTAAAAAGAGACCGAGCGGTACAGGTACGAATGAGCCACGAGCCGACAGACAACAAACGAGCCTAGTAGGAGGAGGAAGAGGAGAAAGCGAAATGAGAGTGTGGAGAGAGAGAGAGATAAATGGACGAAGAGAAAGTAAGCCGCAGCTGTTCGCTACAGCCGTCGAGACAAGCAACGGTATAATTACCGCTTTCCAACCACTCTTCCACAACACAGCCACACTCCATTAATTTACCCCTCCCTCTCCCCCGTCATACTCGCGCCCTCTCCTCCTTCTCAACCCTCTCTATAGATAATTCCTTCCAGAATGTATTCCTTCAAAAGACTAGCACTGAAACATACTGGCACAACCGCATTCACCCACCGAGCTAGTGATGGCTGAGTCACATCACCGGTCTCCACGGTCGCCCAACCAAGAACAGTGTGCCCACGCAGTGCCCTCCTCATCAGCCTTGTCTTCATCCATCACTCGCCCCCAGGTTGGCGCCATCGCCTTCATGCTTCATCCCATACACGTACCGCATATCACGCCCACTATATCACTTCGATGCACTACACCGTAGCCCCACCATAGGCAAGGCAGTCGCAGGCGCATACACTTATACCTCGCAAGTTTAACGTTCCGCACCTGCATCACCCAAGCCTTCACGGAATAGAGTGGGCGCTCCTTGCCACGCTAAGGCACCGGCGCCGGAATGGCATACAGTTGACCCTTGTCACGTTGCTTAAGCTCACTAATCGTGCCGCCCGGACTCCGGAGAAACGATGACCACGTCATCCCGGCCTACGTAGGCCCGCCGAAGCCCTCTCGCTGATGGCTTTACACTGACAATCCTACGAAAGAAGCTTTACCAACTTCTAAGCACGCACACCGAAACACGTTCTCTCAGAAGCCCGTCTCGAACGCGTGGCCGTGCCTCCCAGTAGGTGTGCGTGTATAATAGTGCTTCGGACAGTGTTCGGCCATGGCGTATTGAAACGTCCATGTATGCAGCAGCCGTTTGATTCGTCGAACTCTCAGCCCGATAGGGAACCCAGTCACGCACCATGCCGTCTGCGTGAGTAGTCGTCTTCGGCCGAGGTGACTTTCTCCTCTATCCTTTACGCTGACAAAGGCATTTCGCTTCCCCAGGGCCTCCTGCATCCCACAGCCTTCCATCATACTTGCAGACCTCTCTTGACGATGACGATTGCACCGTACTTGCCTTCAATTTGGTGGTATCGCTCTCGCGTTGGTCTGAAACCATATCCATTGCTGTATGATCTAAACGCCCGCCACGAAACACGCCTCCACTGTCAATAAACACCTGCTTCCTCGAACCACTCGGACACAGCTGACGCTGATAACCCACCGGAGGACTCACTCACAGCTGCTTATGCTAAGTCAGATCGCCTTGCCTCTCCTTCACGCTGCACGCATGTACGGTACGCGCGCAAACCCACCTTGAGCATTTGGTCTTGGTTGTAACCGCCCTTGCCGTGCGTCAAAAGAATGTTTTCATCACTCTACTCTGCCTTCGTGCCCTCCTGCTCTCCAACTTGCGCTGCCGTGCATCTCCGGCGACTCGATGTGAGATGTGCGATACCCTGGTGAGCGCGAAACACTCGCGACGTCATCACCACGACGAACTGTATGCTATTTACGTCTGCATGGCTCGCTCCTCGCCGGGCATCAGACCGACTATCAGCAAAACTCATTGAGTGCGATACGCCCCTCTGCCCCAACGTCCGATATGTTGGGGACCAGTTTCATTGCTGTGTCGGTTGTAACGTGACGCGCTGGATAATGTGCTTACACATGTTCAGGTTTCAGCCGCTCGCTTCTGCGTTTCTCCGGTTTCCGGGCGGCATACACTTTGGAGTTTGTGTAAGGTCAACGTCCTCCGTCTACGTCTTCTAACTTGAACTATGGGCCTTACCCTGTATGAAGGTGCTCTACGCGGTCACGATCCATGACTGCCATGAGCGAATTTTACCATATACGTCTCCAAAAAAGACCCCTAGAGTTTAATGGCATTCTAACGTGTACCGAGCACTGTGGACGCGTACGACGCGATCCAGCTGAGCCATAAGCTGACGCGTTCGCCCCACGTGACGCGTTAGTCACGGAATCACGAGACGCGATTATCAGCGCGTTATCAAGCTCCCCAATTGCACGACTTCCTCTCCGGCTCGCAAGGAACCCGCGCGCCACCGGCACTGAGATCCCCATCCCTTCCTGATCCTCCCTAAGTATTCCCTCCCACCGATCCTCGCGTGATTCCGCGCCGGCGTCATCAATCTTTCATCCACCTTCCACGCCCGCTCTCGAGGGATCGCGTATATAAGCTTGGTGAGAGTTGCAGTGTCCATCTCATCGTTCTTTCGCTCATCAGCTGTGCTCGGCATCTTCAGACCCCTATCGTTGATTGCTACTAGTCGTTATCGCTATGCCCGCTCCCAAGGTTTCTGTTGGCGACGAGATCCCCCAGGGCACGTTCAAGTACGTGCCGTACACCCCTGAGCTCGACGATCATGTATGTCTCCTTTCTTTTTTCGGTTTGCTAGCACGGTATCGCTGATCGCTGATCTTTCTCTTTGCGCGGGTGTAGGCTATATGCGGTGTCCGTAAGTGATACAATGGGTGTATGGTTTACCAACCGTTCTCAGACGCTGATGTGGGTTGGGTATGACAGCGACGACGCTCTCCACGGACGCCTGGAAGGGCAAGAAGGTTGTTCTCTTCGCCGTCCCCGGCGCTTTCACGGTACGTACCACCTGCAATTCTGCATCCACCATGATAGAAGTATTGAGACACTGCTTCTCCCTCCCGCCCGTCCCCCTCACCGCTCTCCAATCGCTCGCCCTACCGACCCACCACAGCCCACCTGCCACATCAACCACCTCCCGCCCTACCTCGAGAAGCACGACGAGTTCAAGGCCAAAGGCGTCGACGTGATCGCCGTCGTCGCCGCCAACGACGCCTTCGTGATGTCCGGCTGGGCGCGCGTCGAGGGCCTCAAGGACAAGATCCTCGCGCTCTCGGACGCGAACGCGGAGTGGTCCGCCAAGCTCGGTCTCGACCAGGATCTGTCCGCCGTCGGGTTCGGCACGCGCACAGGGCGGTATGCGCTTATTATTGATGATCTGAAGATCCAGTATGTCGAGGTGCGTTCTGCTGCGGCGGTTGTTTATCTGTGAGCATGCGCAAAGTCTGATCATGGCTGCGTTGCGGTGCGATGAATACAGGTTGAGCAGGAGCGTGGTGTCACGGTTTCCGGTGCGGATGCCGTGCTCGCGAAGCTCTAGATCTGGGAGTCGTTATCGTGTTGGGTTTTTGGCTGGGATAGATGCGAGTGTCCGTATATCGAAGCTCCACTCTCTGAATACTGTAAATCATAAAGCAATGTCAGGTCGTGTTGGATATCGTACCTTTGGCTGACGAAGCCCGAAAACATAGTGCGATCCTTCATCCCGGTCTTGGCTGAATCATTGAGGGATTCACGTTCTTGTCAGCTCAGCCCCTGAGCGCTTTTTCCCGAAGGGCAATCCAGGCACCGCGTGGTCCGTGCGCCCCTCTGGGTTCCAGGGTCAAAGTGTGTTCCGACCGTGGGCGGGAGTAACGGGGCGGTAGGTCCATGTTTATGTTTTGGCCTGTGTACGTGAAACTGTCACGTGAGCGAGGTTTGTTGATTGCCAGATAAAGTTCGGAATTACAAGAGAGCGACAGGGCGTCCAAGTCTCGCCTCGCGCTCCAGTGCCCCCCTCCTTGTTCCCCTTCCCTTTCCTCCCCTTCCCGCGTACCCCTCCCTCGAACAAGCTCCCCCTTGTCCGTGAACAGCCCATCTTGCTGTCCAACCGTTCACAAAACGTGATATAAGGTGAGCTGAGGCCAGTAAACACGCGATGGGGGGGACGGTTCGACTTACGTATTAATGCCGACCGGCCCATCCCTCCAAAGCTCAACCAACACCTAAGCACAATCCACCCACCTCACATCCCGAGAAAAAATGCCCCGCAAAGCAGCTGCCTCCGCCGACGGTTCCGCCACCGCCGAGCCCCGCCGCTCCACCCGTATCAAGGACCAGCCCAAGGTCGAGACGACAGCCCCTGCACCCGCGAAGAAGGCGCCCGCCAAGCCGCGCAGCACCAAGAAGAAGTCCGAGGAGGAAGCTGCCCCCGCCGCCGCCGCTGAAGAGAAGAAGGACGAGGTCAAGCCCGCGCAGACGGGCGAGAAGCGTGCTGCCGAGAAGGAGGACGCCGCTGACAACGAGCCGCCTGCGAAAAAGGTGCGTTTGTTCTCCCTTCGTGTCCCTGCTTCCTCCCTTTTCCCTTGTGCCTCTCCGTCCTTTTTCCCTATGTCGTCCCCGAGTGCATCAAGCTGACCCGCGCCCACCCCATACACAGGCTAAACCAGCGAGCAAAGCTGCAGCCAAGCCCACCTCCAAGGCCGCTGCTGCTGCTGCCTCTGCCGACGCCGCCAAGCCCGCGTCGAAGCCTGCCTCCAAGGCTGCTGCTAAGCCCGCTTCCAAGGCTGCTGCCAAACCCGCCTCCAAAGCCGCTGACACCGCGGCGGCGAAGCCTGCATCGAAGGCGGCCGCTAAGCCCGCCTCGAAGGCGTCTGCGAAGCCCCCCTCTACGAAGAAGCCCGCTTCACGTGCGGGGTCGAAGAAGCCTGTTTCGAAGGTGCGTCTCGTCTCTTCTATCTCATCTCATCCGTCCTCTTTTGCCCTCGTGGATGTTTTCGCTCGATTGCGAAGCAAGTGAGAGACGTCGGTGGTGGGAGTGGGGAATGGGTCGGTCTGTGGAAGCGTGCTGACGAGTGTTTTGTGTCCCGCAGGCCGCCGAAGACAACGCAAAGGAGAACGATGCCCCCGCTGCTGCGCCCATCGCTGAGGAGCCAGAAGCCGAGGCTGCTGCTGCCTCTGAGGCTGCGGCCGTCTCGACCGAGGTAAGTCTCCCTTCATAGCGCCTCGTGTAGATGAACGCCGATGGCTGACTTGTGACGCTAATGCAGGCTTAAACGCTGTACGACCCCCGACGATATCTGCTGTCCGTGATCTGATCTGTATTCTTGTGGTTCTCCCCCGTCTGTCGTCCATCGTCTATCGTCGTCACATCCTATGCTTTGTTCCGTGTGTCTGTTTAATCTAGTTTTCTTTTTTCTCCTCCCTTGATTGATTGTTTGCCGCTCCTCGGTACGCTTATTTGTTTTTCTCCCAATCGATTGGTTATTATCGCGTATTTTGTTTCGATCCCTCCAAATGCGCTCGTCGATCTGTCAGTCGTTTCGTGCATGTGAAGCGCAATCCGTTGAGAGCTTGCGCAGACAGAGTGGTGGCGGTGATGCAGTGTGGACGGACGGGCTCTGTCCCGGTGGTGGGTGGTGGCGCATATGTTTTACGTTTATTTACATGAGAAATAAGATATGCAGTGTGTCTAAACCAGCGGACATTGGATGTTTCCTGTTCGCGGTACAGCCGAAGTCGACTTAGTAAACGTCAGTTCCTCGGCCTCTGTCCTTGTCGTGTTGTCGTTTGTTCTCGAGCGCTGTGCTCCTCGCTCGAAGGAAAACCGGCTTTCTTACCAAAGACTTGCACGGCGGAGTCTGCCGTACTCGAGGCCACAGTTTCCGGTCCCCTACACCATTATTCTGAGCTTGGCGGTGTTCAGGTGGATAAACTAATATCTTTTCGCTCGTCATTCCAAACTATCGGACATTGATCAATGCATTCAGTAACCCAGCACGAGCCTAAGCAAGTTGGAGAAAGGAAACCGCTGTTTGGGGATGCCTGAACTGTGACGATATCGATGCTATAGAGGTCCCGTGCAGGCTCCTTTGAGGTGCTGCGGGAAAGCTTTTCACTGGTAAGCCACTTTCTGTGTGCTCGAAAGTTGAATAGTCCGGTCGTCCTCGAGGCGAAGCGCTTCTCTGTGAGCATATAGAATGACGCACGACGAAACATGTCAGATGCTTTGACGGTGACTTGGCAATGATGAGCAGATTATTATAGACGTACCAGTGCAGCTGTTACGACGGCGTAAATGGGCGTGAGAGCCAACGAATGTATATGAAAGGTACAATGCCAAATGGTGAGTTTGATTACACAATGGTTTGGACTATGATTGGAGTCGTAGGTACGACGCTGTGACATGTATACCTTGGCCATTGATTTATTGAGGGGTGGGGACATGGGCGGTAAAGACTGCAACGGTTTCGAGGTAAGGTTTAGAGAAAAAACAAATCGTCGGTTCAAGTCCGAAGATGTAGTATTTATACCCTACTGATGAACTTGCCGGAAAAGGATGCAAAATTAGTCCGAAGCACTGAAGACTCAAATAGGGCTCACAGCCAAGATTGATTCCGAAGGAGAACGGGAGAGTACGATGATACGCCTTGATTGTAGCCACATCCGCTGACTGATTTTGATGGCTCCTACTAGAAACATGCAAGGGTTGTGACTAGTACTTTTTTGTTCAAAGTCACGGAACGTGGGTACGTAAGTTCAACTGTGAAGGATGCAGTAACCCATGCTAGTTTATGTACTTTCTAGAGATCCCAACGTCAGCACTGTTTTGGATCTAGAATGATCATCGGGTTTCATTACTTCAATGTTGACCGGGCCGGACATCAGCTCATACCAAGCATCTGAAGATCTGATGGCCTCAAATATCGCAGGTGAATCCGAGCCACCATCACATCAGGCGGAGCTTGGAGCTTGCTAGCGGCATCCCATGCACTGCTCTTCTTACAGGCTAATATATAGCTTCAGGTCGTGAGTTTCACGCTCGTGGACCCGCCCTCCCCACTTCACGTTGCCGCTCATGGCCGGCGCCGCCACCAATATCGCCGCGTCCGTTTGTTCTTTCCTGGGGTTTATCCTCATTACTTCACAGCTCGGTCAAAAATACCAAGGTATGGCTCACTATGCCACCTATGTCTACCGCTGACACAAATTGTGGGGTATTACAAATATGTCTAATAGCATGGAATACGGGATCAGTCTTGTACATTATGTGGACTAGTGTCATGTGTCTCACAATAGCCGTCAATGCCGCTATGTGGAATGGCAATGTCACAGACTGGGCGCCTGCGTGGTGTGAAATTTGTGCGTGCTATAGTGTATTCATAAATATTCTCTCTTCAAAACTGAGTTAAAGCTTAGCCTCTCGCCTAGCTATTGGCGGCGAAGTCGCTCTCCCAGTCGCTACGCTATGCATAAATCGAAGATTGTACCAGATACTTACCCTTCAATATCAGAGAAACTGCGTACGAGAATAAATATTTTCTCTGGTGAGCACCTGTCTGAACGTTGCGACAGGCTGCGTGTGTTGTGGCAACGGACACTTTCATATGTCTTTGCATACCGGCGGTATGCGTCGTTTTGTGTATGTTATCTAGTTTCAATCAAATGATCCAGGTACTAAGGCTCATTCATAAAGATTATGTTGCGCAAGTGAACCGCTATCTGCTTGTAGAAGATTTCGGCTGCTGCCCAGCAGACGGCAAATACGGAGCCAGCGTTTTGTTGGTTGGCGTGTGGCCGCTGGTAGCTTCGATTGTATCATCAATCTATTCTGGTGAGCGGACTCATGACAGACTCGCCAGGGTTGCTCATCATTCTACTAGCTCTAGCAATCCGAGTCGCTATCAAGCAACGCCATATGCTAGGGCACATTTTATCATCGGGAAATCGTCGACTTACGGCAAAACGGTTTCGGAACCTTATCATTTTTTCTTTCGTTCAAAACATACATCAGCTAGCCCTATCACTCTTTGTTCTGGTCCCTGCCGTCCGAATCACTCAAGTGGACGATGTGCCATTTTGGCCAGGATGGCAAGTTGTCCACGAAAATATCACCTTCGTCGTTCCAGTGTCAGCGCACGGTGCAACAGTAGAAATGTCAGAACAATCTTCCTGGATGCTGCAAAACTGGCAGGAGCATGCCGACACCGCCATCCAACTTTATATGTCCCAGTGGTCCTATGCATTTTGCGCATTCATTTACTTTGGCTTACTAGGCTTCACATACGAAGCAAAGGAGTTTTACTATCGCATACTTGGCTGTTTTGTCACAACTCCTCCCGCTCACATGTGTTCGAAAGATTCTGGTGAAGTAGACGAGAGCTCGGACGTAAACACAAAGCCAATCAGGTAGGGAGCTCTACTTCCATGGTCATTTGAGGAACGTGGCTTACAGATCATTCAGGGTCGCGATTTCAAGTCCTATGCCGCAGTCACGAACAGCTAGCAATACGCTAAGTAGCATGGCTTCCATGCTATTTTTGTCATATGCATCAGGAATTGTGTAGCTTCCTTATCAGGAAACTTATACACGCGCGTCTCGGTTAAGCCCCCAAATAAGGATGGCCCCTCATAAGTTAAAGTGGACTTACATGCCGAACCGAACCTACTCGAAATAAGGGACGCACAAACTATCTGTCGACTTTTCTTACACTTTCCCTTCCTCCTTTTCACGTACGAGCGTACTTATTCTGACCCAAGTAATTAGGAGTAGCGTGTTCCACCAATATAGAGCTGTCTTTTGACAAACTAAGATGTGCTTATTGATTGCTTGGGTCATTCTTACATGCGATCGCACATTTCAGAGCGGGGAAAAGCTGCATTATAGGGTCAACTAAGTGCGACCAGAGTGTCCGTAAAACGCCACTGAAAGAAGCGCGTGTCTAAAAGTATCGTAAGAAGTCGTTAAGGTGTCGTTAAGGTATTATGAAGTGTATAAATGTCGTGTAGGCGTGAAAAAAGAGGGGGGAAAATCGTAAAATAAAATTTAAAAAAACAGGGCGCAGGACGCGTATGAGACATTGTAATGCGATTAGAAGAGAGAA